ACCTATTCAGAACAGCAAAAAGAAAAAAAAATTGAGGACTTCCGGCCAAGATGGAGGCATAGGTAGACACACTGTGCCTTCTTGCACAACCAAAATAAGGACAACAACAATTCAGAAACAAAATAACAACCAGTACTGACAGAAAATGGAACTGTATGGAAGTCCGACAACCAAGGAGTTAAAATAGACACATTTATCCAAACCGGTAGGTGGGGCGGAGTGAGGCTGCCGGATGGAGAGGGGTCGAGGCACAAAAAGTGGTGGTACCTGGTGCACAAGGCACCCCAGGAGCACAAGACCGCAGTGGGAGGACCCTGGGCACGCAGGCAGCAGCTGGCAGACCACCCCAGGTGCAGGGTGGAAACGGGCACACCCAGCAAGGCGACAATTATGAAGTGAGGCACTGCATGCAAGGCAGCTGACTGACCAGGCGGTCCCACATTTGCGCTCAAATAAACCAGGTGAAACTGGGGAGCAAGACAGACCGCTCAACCCAGGGTCCCAGCGTGGGGAAATAAAACCTCAAAACACCGACTGAAAACACCTGTGGGAGGGTGAGGCGCTGGGAGAAACTCCCAGCCTCATAGGAGAGTTCGTTGGAGAGACCCATGGGGTTCTAGAACATACACAAGCTCACCCACCAGGAATCAGCACCAGAAGGGCCCAGTTTGCTCAGTGGAAGAGGCGGAAGGGACTGAAATCCGAGAGAGAGCAGAGCAAGCACCATGGTCCCCTCTCGGACCCGCCCCTCATATGTAACAGGCAAGACAAGACAAAAAGGCCCAAACAAAAGAACAGATCAAAGCGCCACAGTAAATACAACTAAGCGACTAAGAGACAGCCAACCTATCAGATGCACAGTTCAAAGCACTGGTGATCAGGATGCTCACAGAATTGGTTGAATTTGGTCGCAAAGTAGATGGAAAAATGAAGGCTACACTAAGTGAAATGAAGGAAAATGCATAGAAAACCAATAATGATGGGAAGAAAACTGTGAATCAAATCAATGGAGTGGACCAGAAGGAAGAAACAACCAAACAGAAAAGAATGAAGAAACAAGAATTCAAAAAAATTAGGAGAGGCTTAGGAACCCCCAGGACATCTTTAAATGTTCCAACATACAAATTATAGGGGTACCAGAAGGGGAAGAGGAAGAGCAACAAGTGGAAAACTTATTTGAACAAATAATAAAGGAAAACTCCCCCAATCTGCCAAAGGAAATAGACTTCCAGGAAGTCCAGGAAGCTCAGAGAGTCCCACAGAAGTTGGACCCAAGGAGGAACACACCAAGGCACATTATAATTACATTAGCCAAGGTAAAAATGAAGGAGAGAATCCTAGAAGCAGCAAGAGATAAGGAGACAGTCACCTACAAAGGAGTTCCCATCAGACTATCAGCTGATTTCTCAAAAGAGACCTTGCAGGCAAGAAGGGACTGGAAAGAAGTATTCCAAGTCATGAAAGGCAACGACCTACATCCAAGATTGCTCTATCCAGCAAAGCTTTCATTTAGAATGGAAGGGCAGATAAAGTGCTTCTCAGATAAGGTCAAGTTAAAGGAGTTCATCATCACCAAGCCCTTATTATCTGAAATGCTAAAGAGATATATCTAAGAAAATGAAGATAAAAACATGTATAGTAATATGACAGCAAACTGACAATTATTAACAACCACACCTAAAACAAAAACAAACTAAGCAAACAACTAGAACAGGAACAGAACCACAGAAGTGGAGATCACATGGAGGGTTAACAACAGGGGAGTGGGAGGAGGAGAGGTGGGAGAAAGGTACAGAGAATAAGTAGCATAGATGGTAGGTAGAAAATAGACAGGGGGAGGGCAAGAATAGCATGGGAAATGTAGAAGCTAAAGAACTTATGACACGTCAATATGAACTAAGGGGGGGAATGTGGGTGGGAAAGGGTGTGGAGGAGAATAAAGGGGGAAATGGGACAACTGTAATAGCATAATCAATAAATATATTTTTTTAAAAAATAAGGATAGTGTAAGGAGCCTCTGGGACAACTTGCGTCATGGGGATGCCAGAAGGAGAATAGAAAGAGCAAGAAATTGGAAACCTATCTGAAAAAAATGACAGAAAATTTCCCTAACCTGGTGAAGGAAACAGACATATAAGTCCAGGAAGCACAGAGTTCCAAACAAGATGAACCCAAAGAAACTCACACAAAGACACATCATAATTAACATGCAAAAGGTTAGACAAAGAGAAAATCTTAAAAGTAGCAAGTAGTTAGTTACCTACAACGGAGTTCCCACAAGACTGTCAGCTGATTTCTCAACAGAAACTTTGCAGGCCAGAAGGAAGTGGCAATAAATATTCAAAGTGATGAAAAACAAGGACCTACAACCAAGATTACTGTACCCATCAAAGCTATCATTCAGAATCAAAGGACATATAAAGAGCTCCCCGGACAAGAAAAAGCTAAAGGAGTTCATCACTGCCAAACAAGTATTACATGACATGCTAAAGGCTCTTCTTTAAGAAGGAAAAACAAAGATAAAAAAATATGAATAACATGGCAATAAATACATATCTATCAACAACAGACAAATACAACCCCCCCCCCCCAACAAATAAATGAACAAGCAGAACAGAAAGAGGCCCATAGATAGAACATTTTGATGGTTGCCAGACAGGAGGGGAGTTGGGGGGATGGATGAAACACGTAAGGGAATAAGAAGTACAAACTGGTTGTTAAAGAATGGTCATGGGGATGTAAAGTACAGAATAGGAAATACAGTCAATAATATTCTAATAACTATGTACAGTGTCAGATGGGTACAGATTTACTGGAATGATCACTTAATAAGTTAGTAACATCTAATCACTGGGGTATACACCTGAAACTAATATAATATTCTATGTCAACTGTAATTGAGAAATAAAAAAGGATTTTAGAAAATTAAAACATGAAAAGAAAAAAAATTGACATTAACAAATCAATTATCAGAAAAGATTAGCTCTTGTACCATTACCTAAAATTTATTTATTTTTTCTCACTTTAAAAAACAGGGTCTGGTTTTAATTATAAAACTATAAAACTCTTAGAAGAAAACATAGGGAAAAGCTTCGTGACATTAGATTTCATAGCGATTCCTTCCATATGACACCAAAAGCACAGGCAACAAAAACACAAATAGATACAGAGAAACGAGAACCTTGTGCGCTACTGGAGAGAATACAAAATGGCTGCTATGGAAAACAGTATGCAGGTTCCTCAAAAAATTTAATAAAATTGCCACATAATGCAGCAATCCCACGTCCAGATATATATCCAAAAGGATTGAAAGCAGGGGCTTGAGATATCTGTATACTCATGTTCACAGCAGCATTATTCACAATAGTCAAGAGGTAGAAGCAATCAAAATACCCATCCATCAGCAGATGAATGAATAAATTGGGGTATGCACATACAATGGAATGTTAGTCAGTCTTAAAATATTTTGACACATGCTTCAACATGGATGAACCTTGAGAACATTATGCTAAGAGCATCACAACAGAACACTAAATACTGTATGATTTCACTTATATGAAGTATCTAGAGTAGTCAAATAAAACAAACAAACAAACAAACAAACAAACAAACAAACAAACAAACAAACAAACAAACACAACAAAGCAGAATGATGGTTGCCAGGGCAGGGGGGAGCAGTGAATGGGCCCAGTTTCAGTTTTGCAAGATGGAAAAATTCTAGAGATTCACAACGTGAATGTACTTCACGCTACTGAGCAGTACACTTATGGTGGTTAAGATGATAAATTCTGTGTATTTTATCACAATTAAAAATAAAAAAATTTAAGTGCAAGTTGGGTTATATGATACTGTTATTTTCCCCCTTATATCTTATTTTTCTGTGTCATATGCATTTGTTCTTTCTTTTTTAAAGTGCCTACTTACTAGTATAGATATACTGTTAATTATATAACTGTTCTCTACTGATGGACAATTGGATTATCTCCATTCCCCCCCACTCTCATCAGCCTTGCTGCAACACTCATTCTTGGACTTACAGATCATTCCACAACTGTATGACTATAAGCCATGGTCTATAATTTAGTCAAAATTATCAAGACTCTAGACACAAAAAGAAATATCAGGGCAGGGCAACACACAAAATCTGATTTAATTTGCTGTCATTAATATTATCAAGGACCATAAAAGTCTCATAATTGATGCAGTAATTTTAATGAAAGTGGTCAAAAGAAGGAAAGGCTAGACTGTCCCTATGATCTATATGATACTGAAAAAAATGAAACAAAACCAAACCAAATCTCTACTAATAGTGGTACTATAACAAAATCAGGCAATACCTGTATAGCACAACAATTAGAAAGCTATATAAAATGTTTATTATATTAACAGTAAAATAAAACTCTTATGTACACTTAACATTTTAACTGATCTGTAAGCAAATAGCTCATAGGCCTAATGCTTCCCAGAGAAATGTTACATTTGGTCTGCACAAAGGCAGGATTTGAGTATCCTGAGGCATGGCAAAAACCTCCCAGTTTACCGCGGTTTACATCACTCCATGTGTTGCAACCCACGCTCTACCTATTCAGGCACCTGCACTCTTGATCCTGAACACAAAGGAGAATTGAGAAGGACTTCCAAAAGAAACCAGATCTCCTGCAGGGTAGGGTGCTGCTCAGTAAGTTTTTCCTTTGGAAGAAATAATGCTTCCACTGACTCATTAAGATCTTTTAACAGTCAGTGAATAAATACAATAAAACCGACACACACATCTACTACATGGTGATCTTTTCCCCAAGACCAGTTTCTAAGGACAATCTGCAATTCAAGGCTACACGGACACTAAATCGTGAGTACACAAAGGCACACAAGAAACATACTCCTGGGCATCTCTGAAACTAAGATGCAATAAGAAACAGAGATACACTTTTTTCTATACACCCCTGCTGTTGTTCACATTCCTTAAAAAAAAACAAAGAAAACAAAAAACCGTCACTTACCTAGTGACTTGTTTGTGGAAGTCTGTGAGTTGCTTGTGTGTCACTGTGACGGCGCCCACAGTTGTTTCTTTTGGCAAACCTTTCAAGGAGTTCTCTAACCATCGGCAGAAGGTCTGTACCAAGAAGAGGAATATGCGATTTTAAAAGAGGCAGGGCTTACTCAACTGGGACTCTCTATAGGTAATAACACAAACCCACAGGTTTTCCTTAGTAGCACTGGTTCCTCCAGACTTAGAAGTGAGTAAAAACATTTAAAAAGTATTATCTTTGGGCCTTCCAACCCTCTGGGGGTTGGAATCAGCTACAAAGGCAAGCCCAGACTTCCCTTCAGAGAGGCAGCAGGCATCATTTCAGAAAGAGCCTTGTACCTCGGAAGGGAAGTCTCTTCTGGATGAGGCTATTGTTCTGTTCCTGTCATTAAACTTATGTAATATTTAAAAAAATTAAATAGCTGCCAGAAATCTCTTGAGCATAAAGATCAAAGGCAATCCAAAGGAAAGGTTCAGGTACCAGAAAGAGCAGGGACAAAAAGTATAGTAAGTAAACATGTCAAAAAGTATGTATGTAACATGAATCCAGAAATTAAAGGATTTTAAGATCATCTCTCTCAGTAGAGGTCATATCAATAAGTTCCACTGTGTTACCTGCTCATTTTTTGGGTTAGAAAGTTCTTCTGTTGTTCACTCTTGTTGCTATTTAAAAGAATTTATTTACATTCAAACAAGATCTCTTTATACCTTCCATATGCACAAAAACTCCTGACCCTCATACCCATTCTTTCCTCGTCAAACTAAAAATCAAAATTCTAGAGACTTCCTCTGGTTCCTTATTTTCAGTTAAATTGTTCTTTGAGTCAGTTGTAATTTTTCTTCATGTCTTTTTTTTTAAGATTTCATTTTTATTTCTTTTTAGAGAGAGGAGAAGGGAGAGAGAAAGAAGGGAAGAGAAACACTGATGTGTGAGAGAAAGACAGATGAGTTGCCTCTCACACGCCCCCAACTGGGGACCTGGCCAGCAAACCAGGCATGTGGCCTAACTGGGAATCAAACTAGAGACCACACCGGGGACCTGTTGTTTGGCAGGTCTGTGCTTAATCCACTGAGCCAGTGGATTTCATGTCTTTTTTAAGTAGGATGCATACTTTGGTTACAGTTTTCAGCTAATTTTTTTACATTGTATGTTTTCCCATTATGTTAATTTATGATAACAGACCAGAGCAAAAGTAAATATTCTACTAGGAATGCTTTAAAAATACTGCACAGCAGTGCACTCTCTCTCCTCCTGGGAGGGCGCCTGTGCCTTCACCCTCACTCTATTTCTCCCCCTAAGCGCATTACCTTTACCTTTTTTTCTCTAAGCTCCAAAGGCCCTTCTTTTGCCTCTGTAGCTTGTTTCCTAGAGCCCAGTTCTTCTACAGCCCATTTCTTTCACTCCTGTGACTTTCTAAACAAAGTTTCTCTTATACTTTGAGTCTTGGCTCTGAATCCTTTCTCAGCCAGAACTCAAGCATTGAGCTTGCTGAATTGAGGTCTGGTCTGACTCTACCAGTCTAACACTGGGTGCCGTTTTCTCCGCGAACAGTGTTATCATCAGTAAGGATGTGATGAAGACCATTAGAATCTGTGGCCACAGGACTGGATTATACACTAAACAAGTACAATAAACCCTCATGTACAGGAAATTCAAAACTATTTGCAGGAAGTTTGTGACAGGACTCACATCAACTGGAGTTAACAGACCAAGAACAAGGAAGTGTCACAGTCTTCCTTGGACCCCCACTGGTGCCCAGATTTCTGTGGTCCACAGTCCCCTCTTGCCCCTCCCACTTCTCCTTCACTTGGCATCCAAGAAGGCTGAACTCTGTACTTTCTTAAGATGGATTTGAGACACCACTAAGTCTCCCATCTTCTTGGTTGGCACCTTCTCCATCAACAAACCTTTCCTTACTCAAAAAAAGTACTGCAAAATTTCCCAAATGTATCCCTCAAGGAAGACAACACTGTAGTCAAACAAAAAAGACAAGCAGGGGCAAAAGATTCAGACAGAATCCTTAACTGACAAGGTTTCGGTATCCAAAAACCGCTCAAAAGTTAACTATAGTATCCCCCCTCTCCAACAGAAACATTAAGAAACTAAATTTGGCCCCGGCTGGTGTGGCTCAGTGGACTGAGCACCAGCCTGTGAACCAAAGGGTTGCCGGTTCAATTCCCAGTCAGGGCACATGCCTGGGTTGCAGGCCAAGTTGTGCTCCCACTAGGGGGCATGTGAGAGGCAACCACATATTGGTATTTCTCCCTCTGTCTCTTTCCCTTCCTCTCTAAATAAATAAAGTATTAAAAAAAAAAACCTAAAAAGCAAAAATTAATTAGCTAGCATACAATGAGTCCTGTCACCTTTTAGTAAAGGAAATATGAGAAATTAAGTTGAAAATACTGAATTAATTTGTCACAGGTGGGTATCCAACAAAGGGGGAAAAGAGTAAAGAGCTTTTAACAGTTCACTCAAGTCAAGAGACAAATCTGATGTGTCATCTTCTATTGAAAATTTTGTGAACTTTGAAAACTGTATGATTAAGAAAGTACAAGAATGGAAATTTCCTTGGACTTAAATCCTTAGTTACAGTTTCAAATCAGTTTATTTATAGGGTATAGACAACCCAAATTTATGTAATTCCTTTTGCAGTAGATGATTATAGAAAACCATCAATTTATTCTTTTTAAAAATTTATTTATTTTTAGAGAGAGGATCAGGGAGGGGGAGAGGGAGAGAAACATCGATCAGTTGCCTCTCCCATGCCCACAACCAGGGACCGACTGGCCTGCATACCCAGGTACATGCCTTGACTGGGAATCAAACAGAAGACCTTTCGGTTCACAGGCCGGTGCTCAATCCACTGAGCCACACCAGTCAGGGTGAAAACCATCACTTAAAATTGCTTGACAACGCACAAGTCTATAGTAAACTGTAAAGAGCACATGGCTACCTGGTTTCTGTTCCTGTCTAAACCTGCTGTTCTCATTTTCTTCTGTTAGCATTTAACTGTTTACAAATCATGAGTGTTTTTTGCAAAATCAAATTTACATAATGTCTTTTGTTACCTGGGAACCAAGTACATTTGTAAAAAAGTGAAAAAGTATGGAAATCTTATTTCTCATGTCAAGGACTTTTGGAATTAAAGTTGTTGGTCTCCAGGCTCACAGAGTCCTTTCTTTAGGAGAACATGAAAATCCTCCTGTATTAGACTGAAAGAGCGCTCATATTGAACAACCAGCAATGGGTATCGTTGGTACAACTTATTGGTGTAAAAGCATTGAATTTGTATGGAAGAACTGCAGAGCCATTTGATAAAACCAGTCACAAAGGAGCCTCACGGAGTTTGATATGTAAGAATTAAAGTACATGTGGCTGTTTCTGAAGTATAAACCTAACAAAAATGTAAGAAATCTATTAAGCATCCATCCTACATTTGACCGTTTTTTGTTTGAGCCAAAGGTCAAGTAAAGCATATGCCACTAAGATAATCACTGATTTCTGGAGATGAACACACCAGACCAGGCAGGGATTCTGGTCCAGTCATATTAAGTCTAACAGTAAAAGTGCACTACCTTTTGTGAAACTGCTGAAATTGAGGCTTAGAACTGCTAATCAATGATACATAGCAGGACATAATATTAAGATATACATGGGCTTCAAAATGGTAAGATACTCGTATATCTGGATTTTCCTCTTCCTGGAAGACAGATCACTTTAACTACATCCAACTGGGTACTTCTTGGAACTGATTTTATATTAACATTAAAAATGATAAATCCTATTTTAAAAATAATTTATAAGCTGTTATACCTTATCACTATGCTCAAAACTTTCATGCAGTATACATAATGTGATTTATGATCACGTGGGTCCAGTACTGAAATCTTTCAGACATTACTGGATAGTGTAAAAAATTTTCCATGCTCAGATGATAAAGAACTTGGCTGAGAGTAAAGACAGGAAGCAAATAAATCTAACAGGGAAAGAAATCCGAGTATATATTGTGGACTAGTTTTATATCTATATACCTCCAAATGCTCTGACGAGATTTATTACCAGGGAATCATACACTATTATCTAAGGAGCACAAAGTGAATTAACACTTCCTGAATAACCTGTAATAATATACGAGTGGTTTTTTGGGCATTTCCCACAAGCGAACCAATTTTTCACTGGATGGCCACAGAGCTGAAGTCAATGCTTAGTATTCACTTCTGGTAATATGTAAGCTTTACGACAGTGACAAATATATGCTTCCGAGAACCCAGTGATGAATTAATGGCCTCATATAGGCCTTTCCATGTAACAATTAAATTCAGCAATATGCCTAAATTAGGTTTCATGCACATACAACAGGGCTGGTTTCGACATCATAGTACGGAAAACAATCTTACCGGTCTGTCAACCTGCATGATCTCCCAGAGCACTTCGGCCACATCCGGGAGGGTGTACGGGGGGAGACAAAAGCAGCACGTGTGGAGCAGCTGGCTTACAAGTTGCTGTCCGAGCTGGTTCATCACCTGTCCAATCAGTTCTTTCCGTAATTCAAAGTCATCTTCGTGCTGTAGGAAGAGGTAAATTCTAATTTCCACATTCCAAATTACAAGTCCAACTTTTCCTTTAATTTACTACAGTGCTTTTTAACTGTGCTGCAAGAATTTTTAAAACACTCAATACCTGACTATTTAGTCAGAAGCATTGACCTCTTTTCCCTGGGACTGTTAAATAAAAAAATGAAGACTTCCAGTCAAGATGGAGGTGTAGGTAAACGCAGCTCACCTCCTTGCACAACCACAGCAAAATTACAGATGAACTACAGAACAAATATCACTTGGAACTGTCAGAAAATCAAGCTGTATGGAAGTCCAACAACTAAGGAATTAAAGAAACCGCATTCATCCAGACAGGTAGGTGGGACTGAGCGTTGGAGATGCAGAGATGCAGACTGAGGAACTAGCTGGTCCCAAATCCAAATGTGGTGGATGTAAAACAGAGGGCTATCTCAGGAGTGAGGGATCCCAGCTCCACACCAGACCACTCAGCCCAGTGTCCCAGTGCCAGAAAGATAAGTCCCCATAAATTGTGGCTTTAAAAACCAGTGGGGGCTGGATGAGAGAAGTAACCATGAAATCTCAGTGCTCTCCTCTTAAAGGGCCTCATACCGCACACGGACTTACATGGACTCACTTCCTCTGGGTTCCAGCACCCAGGCAGCACCATGAAGGGAACCAGTGGCATACAGGGAGGAACTGAAGGCCTGGCATCACGGTGAGAGCTGAGGGACAGCCTCCTCCCCAGACAGAACTGCAGACAGTGGCCCTTGTACCTCTTCGGAGCCCTCCCACACACAGAGCCATGGTGTGGAGGCACATATCTGGAGCTCAATCAACCTGGCTCACACAGAAATCCTCACTCTGACAATTACCTAAGGGTCCACCCCATCCAACTTACAGGCCCACCCAACCAACCCTCCTACTCTCGTAACAGTGGTTTTTCCATATGAAGGGCTGGGCCAGGCGCAGGCTTCAGACCTTCCTAAATCCACTCACACAAGCAACCTGAGCCCAGACCTGTACCTCTCACTGAGTGTCCCCAGGCCCCGCACTAGCAGCAGCCACCTGCAGATGACTTCACAGCTTATGCCAAGGGGCCCCAGACAGAACACAGGTGAAGGCTGACCTTGGCTTCCCTGTACCACCTGGGAAACCCCAGAGCCTTCATACCCAATGGATAGTTACAGACCACCTCAGAGCAGCACCCAACCACCTCCACAAGCAATGGAGGGAGGCGGTTGCTGGCCAAGGGTCACAGCCAGTCCTACCAACACCTGGACTGGGCAAATCTCTCCCATTGACCTGCTGACAGCAATCAAGATTCATCTACAAGAGGAAGGTGTCCTCAGGCCACATGGAGGGCGCACCTCAAGTACCCAGCTTGGGTGACAGGGGAGGCTGTGTCACTGGACCCTACAGGACACCTGCTACTTTATACTTTAGGCCATGCTACCAAGACATGGAGTTAAAGCAGCTCCTCCTGTACATAGAAACAAACACAGGAAGGCTGCCAAAAATGAGGGGACAAAGAAACATGGCCCAAATGAAAGAATAAGACAAAACTCTAGAAAAAAGAACTAAACAAAATGGAGATAAGCAATCTATCAGATGCAGAGTTCAAAACACTGGTTATAAGGATGCTTAAGGAACTCAATGGGTACTTGAACAGCATAAAAGAGACGCAGGCAGAAATGAAGGATATACTCATTGAAATAAAGAACAATTGACTGGGAATCAACAGTAGAGTGGATGAAGCCAGGAATCAAATCAATAATTTGGAACATAAGGAAAAGAACATAAGGAAGATATCCAATCAGTACAGCAAGAAGAAAAGGGAATTCAAAAAATTGCAGATAGTGTAAGGAGCCTCTGGGACAACTTCAAACGTTCTATATTTGCAGCATAGGGGTGACAGAAGAAGAGAAAGAGCAAGAAATTGAAAACCTATTTGAAAAAAATAATAATAAAAGAAAACTTCCTTAATTTAGTGAAGGAAATACACATATAAGTCCAGGAAGCACAAAGTCCCAAACAAGATGGATGCAGAGAGGACCACACCAAGACACATCATAATTAAATGCCAAAGGTTAAAGAGAGAATCTTAAAAGCAGCAAGAGAAAAGCAGATAGTTACCTACAAAGGTGTTCCCATAAGACTGTAGGCTAATTTCTCAAAAGAAACTTTGCAGGCTAGAAAGGACTGGCAAGAAGTATTCAAACTGATGAAAAACAAGGACCTACAACCTAGGTTAGTATAACCAGCAAAACTTCCTTTAGAATCAAAGGGCAGATACAGTGCTTCCCAGATAAGGTAAAGCTATAGGATTTCATCATCACCACACCATTATTATATGAAATGTTACAGGGTCTAACTTTAAGAAAAAGATGATTATAACTATGGACATTAAAAATAGCCATAAATACATAACAATCAACAATCAACTCTAAAAAACAAACTAAGCAAATAAGCAGAACAGAAACAGAATCATAGATATGGACAACATTGGGATGGTGGCCAGTTGGGAGGGGCATCTGGGGGAAAGGGGAAAAGGTAAAGGGATTAAAAATTACAATTTGGTAGGTACAGAACAGGTGGGGGGATTTTAAGAACTGTACAGGAAATGGAGCTGCCAAAGAACTAATAAGCATGACCCATGGACATAAATAAAGCATGGGGGATTGCTGGAGGGAGTGGGGAGTACTGGATGGAGGAGGGTAAAGGGGGAAAAATGGGGACAACTGTGATAGCATAATCAATAAAAAAAAATTGACAACAGCCAATACAACAATAGCCCCCCTATTTGTTCAATAGTGTGAACAAATGAAAATCATACTTACTTTTTTTTTGTCATACTGGCAAAAAATATATGTTTTGTGTGTGTGCCACAAAATTTTAGTAATTAGTTTATATGTGTGATGAAATGAAAAAGGCTGGAAATCTCTGGTCTAGCAATTTCTCTCTCCAGGGGAAGAAAGTACATATATTATACAGCAGGTAGATTCACAAAGTATACTACATATTTTGTCATCAGGAAGAAAATAACTGAGTTTAGTATCAAGGAAATGGGCCTAAGTTTCAGCTGAGATTATCTCTTAGGTTTTTCATGAATAGAAGGCAGAAGAGACACAATGGTTAAAGATTAAGGGTAGCATCCTGGCTGGTGTGGCTCAGTTGGCTGGGTGTTGTCCTGCATATTGAAAGATTGGGTTCAGCTTTAATTCCCCATCAGGGCATATGCCTGGGTTGTAGGTTCAGTTCCCAGTTGGAACATGCACAAGAGACAACTGATAGATGTTTCTCTCTCACACTGATGTTTCTCTCCCTCTCTCTCACCCTCCCTTCCCCTCTCTTTAGAATATAAGAATAAATTATTTTTTAAAGTAAAAAAAGATTAAGTGCAACAATTTTAAAAATCTTTTTTTCTGTGAAAAATAACAAAGTATGCTTATTTCCTTTTTAAAACCAACTGAAATAAGAATTGAAGACTTCTACCAGATAATTTTTGTATCAAAAATATTTTTTCTTCCTATAGTCCTTGAATATAAATATATTTCTAACATCTTGAAAAAAATAACTTAAAAAAAACTGCCTTTCACTTCTAATGGTCTTTAGCTTCTAGTTTTCTTCTTTTTCTCTCTCCTTTTACTACCAGACTTCTCAATAATGATTAGCGTGTTCACATACTTGCTTACTTCTTCACTGCTGTCCCTTCCCTTCAATTCTACTCCACATGTAGCCAAATCTACCTTTGCAAACTTTGTGAACCACTGTAGGTTAGTGACTGGTCCACTCTGATATAGGCCTAACCAATACAGATCAAATAAGGAGGCAGAAACAGCCAAGCACATGAGGAAGTGATCTGAAAAGAGAATAAGCTGTGAAGTAGAAATGGTACAACATTCATACTTACATCGTTGGCTACTCCTGTATGGATGAGGTCTCGCAGGAACCGCATGACACTACAGTTGGCATCCCGGTGGTCCAGGGTAGTGGAGGCAATGGCCCACTGTAAGATAGGGATAACTACCTGGCTCCTCAGCAAGGTGACTGGGCTACGCTGAATAAACCTGGATGGAAAGACAAGCTAGGTGTAAATGACAGGAAAAGGCTATAAAAAGCAGCCACGGTAGAAGGCACAACTAGGGAGAAAGTAGAAAAGATCAGAGGTTGCTGGGGTTGGAGGGGGAGGAAGAGATGAACAGGAGGAACACGGGGGTTTTTAGGGTGGTGAAACTATTCTGTACAATATTATAATGGCGGCTACATGTCATCATACATTTGTCCAAACCCACAGAAGGGTCACCACCAGGAATAAAACCCAATGTAAACTATAGACTGGGGGTGTTAAAGTGTCAATGTAGGCTCATCAGTTCTTAACAAATAAACCACCCTGGTGAGGAATGCTGACAGTGAGGAAGGTGGTGGGTGTGGGGGAAGCAGGAGGTGCATGGAAACTCTATTACTTTCCACTCAGTTTTCCACAAGGTTTCTCAGATCATTTAATGTACATGGAGAATCTCTAAGAAAAAGACACAATATTTTTCCGAATATTTCACCAGGTACATCTGTACAGAGAACATCTATAGGGATTAGTTTTCAAGGAACACATCTTGGGAGGTTGACAATACACCGTGCCATATGGGGGTGGGGGGGAGATTTTCTAACTTGTCCAAAAACTAACAAAAAGTGTTCAATTCTAAGGTGAAATAGTCAAGTCAATACTACTTTACATTTGTAAATGATAAAATATATTACATGTACAATTATATGTATTTAATAATGTTTCTTTAAATATATATTTAATAACTTTTAAAAAATGTTTTTATGTTCACTACCTGGTTTGATTCAAATTCCTTAGCTAGGAACTAAGAAGGAATGCAAGGGTTTGGCAATAATGTCAGTGTACTGCTGACAGGAATTTATGTGCTGGGTAAGGTAGCAGGCTAGGGACAGAGCTGGGAAGTGTAGCACCAGGTAACTTCCAAGGCACCTTTTAATCCTAATTTTTTTTTTCCTGAGATATAATAACCTGAGATACATAAAGGACACTAAGCTACTCAAGGAAAAAGGTGGAGCATGACATTAGAGCAGCGTACAAAGTTAAAACTATAGGGGATTTTAGCGATGACCTAGTCAAATGTTTTTACCAAGCTCATTTGAATTGTCACGTGCATGTTTCCTCCTTCATGACAGGAACTGAGCTACTTTTTCCTGTTCCCACCCAATTCCTCCTTCTCCTCACTTCTGAGCATATTCTGGCTCAAAATTTAACTCTGGGTTATGAATCATTAATCTACGTACTCCACTTACCTCATTTCACACAGAAGAAAACAGTCAAGTGTTAGGGGACAAGACTAAGAAGTGACTGGACAGACAATAAAAGAAAGAGATGCTCTTTGGAAGAACTGACCTGGTGGCTAGTCTGAACAGGTCATCCACGGTGTCAGGGTGATTCTGGAGCCCATTCTGCTGCTCTAGTAGCTGGAAGGTAGGGAAGCACAGCGCCTAAAAACAGAGGTAATATTAAAACAAATGTTTGTATATAAATGCCACAGCATTCAGACTTGTTAAATATCACAACATATACACAGGAACAAAGAGGGGAATCACAGACAAAAAAAGACAAGAGTAAGATCAAGGAAAGGAAGACAGAAATCTTTCTCAGTTGACATTAACAGTTTTCACACATGAGAGCCACATTTCCGAAAGAGTTGAAAATATGGATTTTAGTTGATGAAAGTGGATAGATGTTATTTCAAAGCTTTAAAAGTTTCTGAGAATAAAGGCTGTGCTTACGTCCTAGATATGGTCAGTCTACTAGGGGGAAAGATGAAGTCTTAATAGTAATACATGAAGTAATAAAAAGAAGTTCTAAAGGGAAAAGACATCTGGGGAAAAAGGAACTACCTAATACATAATTTAACTACCTAACACATCCCCCTCACCCCACCGTGACTAGGAGCAGGAAAAGGCTGTATTAACAGAAAGCTTTTCCAATGCCTGCTGTTTACCTGAAGACCATCCCTGCTAAGTAAACTAGTTCATTGGCTGTTCCAGGCAAGAATTTAAAAATACAACCATGCTTGAGCTCTATAGAGATCCTTTATTTTAAATCTATCTGTCCACTTCCCCACCCTGAAAATCCCTATTTCTGGAGAGCATAAATTAAGGAGCAATGATAACATTTATGTGGTCAATCTCTCTTTCTCCCAAGCAGGCTTGTCCAGAGAACTAGGAAGTTTCTACCTCCCCGTTGTTAGGAAATCCACATGCCTGGGGTACAAAGATAAAGCAGCAACAGAATTAAAGACATGGTAAGAGACACACTGCTAGGCCTTTAGGCCCTACAAGTCCAACACATCTATACTTCCCAAAAGCAAACTACCTGGAGCATGTCTAGTAATCCCTGCCGACAGCCCTCTTCCATGCCATACTCATCCACAAGGATGCTGCCGAGGTACAGGAAACAGGAATGCTGATGTATGTGGTACACATTCACCATCTGCCAAGGGAAGCAGCAATCAGTTCAACTCTTTACACCTCAATAAGCATCAACTTAGAAAGCTGTCCAAGGGAAGAAATTCAGAGACAGACTGGTCTCTTCTCTTTCAGACAACAGAGAAAAGCGTGTTGTCAACACTTCTAAAAACAAGGCTCAATTCTTCAATTAATTTTCATGTACTCTATTTAGACTTATTTCAAGCCTTTGACCTTTAATCTCCCCAAAACAATGTAAGAGAGTTGTATATTTCAAGCTGGCAGCCATTAAAGAACGATTTTATCCAAGGATTGTGTAATATTTATAAAACCATAGCATAGTATACTCAGATTTTCTACCATCTAATGGTTGCTCTCATTTTTAAATTACTATAGCCATAGCAGCGACAAAAATACCACATGACCTCATCTTGGAGACTGTAAAAGCACTGTTTTAATTTTGAGTCGCTCCTAAAACCCTGCATTTAATCTTTTAAGTAAAAAACAAGTGCTTCCAATCAAGGTATCAGTCTCAAAAGAAACAAAATTTTTAACATAATATACACATTTAAACTAAATGATTTGTTTGGGACTTTTACCTGCTATCCTCTAAAAATGAAGAGGCATCTACACATTCATCTATTTAAAATGCCATCATGCTCTTCCCAATAGTGGCCAGAGGTAACCTCTGAAAATGCTTTGCTCTTCACTTGATCCAGAAAACCCCACAAAATCACGCAAATCAAGAGGCTCAAATCTTTGTAATGACTTTAAGAACACTTGTGAAACTGCCCAGGCCATCAAGGGTACGTACAGTCAAGGCCATTAAAAAGCCACCAAGTACCTGGAGGATGTCCCTTTAAAAGGGACATTTTGTCATTACAAAATGTGTGCCATTCTGTCATTACAATGGTGGACTTGGTAGGCATGCCCAGGCCAAACAGTGGGTCAGGACACAGGTTCAGTGCCCAAAAAGAGTATTCAATTTTTGCTGTACATGCTTAAGAATGCAGAGGATAACTCTGAACTTAAGGGTTTAGATCTAGATTCTCTGGTCACTGAACACATCCAGGTGAACAAAGCTCCCAAGTTGCAGCACAGAACGTACAGAGCTCATGAGCGGGTTAACCCATACACGGGCTCTCCCTGCCACACTGAGATGATTCTAAATGAAAAAGAGCAGATTGTTCCTAAACCAGAAGAAGTTGCACAGAAGAGAAAGCTACCTAAGAAGAAACTGAAGAAGTAAAAGCTTATGGCCTGGGAGTAAATTCAGCATAAAATACATACTAATAAAAGTTAAAAAAAAAAAAAAAGCCATCACAACACACTTGCATTAATCTAATATAAAGTCAACTCTATAAACTTAGTGGGGGCTGAAGGATAGAGTAACTGACTCTTATAGCATATACCATGGCATGAGCATGAGATGAGAACTATGAATCTCAGTGTTGTATCCTTAAAATAAATAAATAAATAAATAAATACACACACACACACACACACACACACACACACACACGCACGCTCTACTTAATGAATAATGACTTAAGTCAAGCATTGGCAAACTTTTTCTTAAAGGGCCAGATAGTAAATATTTTAGGCTTTGCCAGTCATATAATCATTCTGACTACTCAACTTTACCACTGTAGCACAAAAATGGCCAAGAGATAATACTTAAATAAATAAGCATGGCAATCATTCAGTAAAACTTTATTTACAAACTACAGATCTATTGGCTCTATTTATTTATGGGACTTAATTTTTGTCACATGAATTTACTTTAATTTTTTCAGAATTTTATTTTTTAAATGTATTTTATTATATTATAATTGTCCCAATTTTCCCCTTTTGCCCCCCTCTGCCCAGTACCCCTATTCCCTCCAGCAATCCCCTCCCTTAGTTCATGGGTCATGCACATAAATTCTTTGGCTTCTCCATTTCCTATACTGTTCTTAACATCCTTCTGTCTATTTTGTACCCACCAATTTGCACTTAAAAAAAAAAAAAGATTTTATTTATTCATTTAAAAAGAGTGGAAGGGAGGGAGAAAGAGAGGGCGAGAAACATCAATGTGTGGTTGCCTCTCACATGGCCCCCCACTGGGGACCTGGCCTGCAACCCAGTCATGTGCCCTGACTGGGAATCAAACTGGCAACCCTTTGGTTCTCAGCCCGAACGCAATCCACTGAGCTACACCAGCCAGGGCCCAATTTGTACTTCTTAATCCCTGCACCTTTTCCCCATTCTCCCCCATTCCCCTCCCAGCTGATAACCCTCCAAATGATCTCCATATCTATGATTCTGTTCCTGTTCTACTTGTTTGCTTAGTATGTTTTTTAGATTCACTTGTTGATAGTTGTGCTTCATCACTATTTTAATATTCATAATTTTGATCTTCTTTTTCTTAAATAAGTCCCTGTAAGATTTCATACAATAATGGCTTGGTGATGATGAAATCCTTTAGTTTTACCTTGCCTGGGAAGCACTTTACCTGCCCTTCAATTCTAAAAGACAGCTTTGCTGGATAGAGTGATCTAGGTTGTAGGTCCTTGCTTTTCATCACTCTGAATACTTCTTGTCAAAAAGAAGCCTCCAAAGCTTCTTTTGAGAAATTAGCCTATAGTCTTATGGAAATTCCTTTGTAGGTAACCATCTGCTTTTCTCTTGCTGCTTTTAAGATTCTCTCTCTATTTTTAGCCTCAGGCATTTTAATTATGATGTGTCTTGGTATACCTCTCTTTGGGTCTGACTTGTTTGGGACTCTGCGCTCCAGAGACTTGCATGTCTATGTCCTTCCCCAAATTAGTTAAGTTTTCTTTCATTAATTTTTCAAATAAATTTTCAACTGCTTGTTCTTCCTTTTCTCATTCTGGAATCCCTATGTTTTAGATGTTGGTAAGTTTGGAGATGTCCCAGAAGCTCCTCATTCTATTCTAATTTTGGGGGGATTCTTTTTTCTTCTTGCCATTCTAATTGAATGCTGTTTTCTTCCTTATGTTCCAAATTGTTGACCTGAATCTCAGCTTTATCCCCTCCACTGTTGGTCCCCTGTGGATTTTTCTTTATTTCACTTAATGCAACCTTTATCTCTGCCTAGGTCTTCTTCTTCTTCTTCTTTTTTTTTGTTGTTGCAGTACCCAATGATTTCTTTGAGTATCCTGATAACCAGTGTTTTGAACTCTGCATCTGATAGGCTGTTTATCTCCATTTCATTTAGTTCTTTTCCTGGAGTTCTGTTCTGTTCTTTCCATTTGAGCCATACTTCCTTGTCTCCTCAATTTGGCAGCCTCCCTGTGTTTGTTTCAGTGTATTAGGTAGAGCTGATTTGATCCCCTGTCTTGGCAGTGTGGCCTGCTAAGGCACCTGTAAATTGTGTGAGCAGAGCGTTAGGTAGTTGGCAGGGCAAGGCAACCTGTTTCACTGCTTTGTGGCTCTGTGTGGGGGAGGGCTTGGAGAGGGGTCAATACTGCTTCCTGGCCTCTGGAGATTGCCCGAGGAAGCTGTCCCCCCATCACTCGTCCCCTTGCTAGTCACTTCACTTTCTCCCTCTCTCTCTATATGTCACTTGTACCCTTCCACCTGTTGCCCTGATGCTGAATCCTAGTGAGGGTGGGTCTGCTTGAGATTTAAGTCCGTTGCAGGCCCTTTAAGAGGAGTCTCTTGAGAATCTTGAAAATTCTTCTTCCACCCCAACCCTCACTGGTTTTTGTAGCCAGAAATCATGGGGACTTATCTTTCTGTTGCTGAGACCCTGGGCTGGGTGATCTGGTCTGGGGCTGGGATGCTTGCTCCCAGGGTATCCCTCCCAATTTTTATCTATTACATGTGAATGTGGGACTACCCATTCCACTACCTTTCTGTGCTTCTCTGCCCCTCCGTCTCTGCCCCTCCTACCTGTCTGGATGAATGTGGCTTCTTTAAATCCTTGATTGTTGGACTTCCATATGGCTCGATTTTCTGACAAATCTGGCTCTTATTTGTTTTGTACTTTAGTTGTAATTTTTTCTGTAGTTGTGTGCAGAAGTGAAGTGTGTTTACCTACGTCCCCATTTTGGCCAGAAGTCCTTGTCAATGGACTGACTTTAGAATATACTTCCTATGTAGGGTGCTTCCCTACACTATTGAGTTGAGTATAGGGAAGAGGGACTTCCGTACACTATTAAGTCACATACTTAATTAGCAGGAATAAAAAAAAAGTATTGAAGTCATGAGATATCCTCTAACAGCAAAGGGGCATTAAATCAAGTTATATTGGAGCCAGAACACATTGCACCAAAGGGACCCTTAATCACAAGTAGACACAGCCAAATTACAAACATATGCTGCTGTACTCAGGATACAGAAAATCACTCATAGTTAAAATTCTGTTAAAATATATACTCATACAAACTTTAATCAAATCTACAATTTAAGGAGGCAAGGTCTTACAGTGTCAACTAACACTGTACTAGGATGACCCTGCCTGAAGGTGCTTCCTTAAGAGTGAAGCATCTGGAGAATAGATTTTAAGACGGCACTCACAGCCAGGGGAATGTGCACCTACTTAAAATCTCCACCCTGTCCAGGTGGAGAAGAGTCACTTTGGGTTGGGTGGGTGCAGTCTAGCAGTTTTCCTCACAGCAGGGGTGGAAAACTTAAGAAGACACTTGTTCAGAGTCCTGCAAGTGCAGGATTGGCACTTGGCCTTGCTGCTTTCAATTCTGCATGCATGGCAGCTCACTTGCCTCAATCCAGTTCTGGCCCTGCTATGAGGTTAACTTTAACACAAACCAATTACTTGGTGGACTAACTTACCAGTGATAGGTGTCTCATATAGTTCTAGATACAATCTTAGAGAACATCATGCAGCTAACCATACCATCTCACTTACATATCAATCTTGGTGATTAAAAGAGTCAAATTTATATCTTGACAAGACACTTATGTGAACAACTAACTATGGTCAAGATAAAAAAAATCCCTTTGGGCCAAGAAATAATAAAGTTTGATCCACCATATTTTAAGAAAGAAAATTAATGTAAAAATATTTAGCACTGGTATTTAGAACTTAGCATAAAGTCATTCTCTTTTCCTAATTTCACACTGGGATGTATCCCTATTTAGACTATCATCACACAAAATAGATTATACAGGCTGTTTCCCTTGTAAGACAAAATACCTGCTACACACATTATGTGTTTCTTTCAAATTATTTTTTCATTCGTATTTAATAAATACAAAAGGGCTTCATCAGCAGTTTTTGTCCAAAGGCTCCTATTTCAAACTCTGTACACTTTGCATTCTCCCTCTCATGGAGAACTTACCTGTGTGACCAGTGGCTGCAGCAGGGCCGCGGATCCTTTGCCTACACAGCGAACAGCGAAGCGGAGGCATCTGCAACAACGCTCTACAATCCGATTATCAGCCCGGTGCTTATTTAGAGTCTCAGATAAAACTGGCCATATCTGAGTTAAAAGTGAAAGACCACAAGAAAGAAAACAATGAACTAAAAGCTGAAAAAAAAAAAAGTTCCCAAGTTGGTAACATCTGATTTGGCTTTCAAGTTACTTGGTAAAGCTTTGTTTATAGAAACACACATGGCCTGATTCTGGCAGTGGGAATGTGTATATGTGCAGAGATTCAAAATACTATCCATAATGGAAACACAACCACTTCTTAAGAGAAGCACCATGACTCTTTAGAACTGCAAGGGGAGCATGTCTACCTTTACTAAAAGACAAAGACATTTTCCTAAACTTTGAACTTCCTGATTTAGGATGGAAAGAATTAGTATGAATTATAGAGGAAAAGTGTTTAAAGGCAGTTTCAAGAAGGTAGAAGACCTTGAACAAAAGGACTAGAGTAAAGGAAATAGCATTATTTGATACCACTGAACACTTAAGAATATTTGCCCCCTGCCCCATAGTCTGAAAATCACTTCTCCCCTCCAAGTTGCTAACTAGGACTGACTGCTTAGCTCCTGAGATCAGATGAGATTGGGCATGTTCAGGGTGGTATGGCTGTAGGCTGAAAAGTATGCCTCAAATATGCATTTCAATCCTCACACATTATTCTCAGTGAAAAATGCATAAAGGAAGTATGTTATCAATGGGAAACTAAAGTCAGGAAGGTTAACTGGCTTTGTGGGGTGTGGGGGGAGAGTATTAATCAGGCCTCCTAGCACCTCTAGGATTCACACAGTTAATCTCTTCCTACATCTTTGGCCTTTCAAAATTTCCCTACAGCAGGTTTTCTAAAAAAAAAAAAAAAAGAAAAGAAAGAAAAGAAAAGAAAAGAAAAAAGAAAAAGAAAAAGAAAGAACTAAGCCCCGGCTGCTGTGGTTCAGTGGACTGAGTGCCAGCCTGCGAAGCAAGAGGATGTCTGGTCAACTCCCAGTGAGGGCACATGCCTCGGTTGTAGGCCAAGTCCCCAGTTGAGGGCGTGCGAGAGGCAATCGATTGATGTATCTCACACATTGATGTTTCTCTCCCCCTCTTTCTCCCTTCCTTCCCCTCTCTAAAAATAAATAAATAAAATATTTTTTAAAAATCTAAAATCAAAATTATTTATTTGGATGGGTCCATTCCTCTTTTCATTGGTATTTAAACCATATCAACAAATTAAATCTTCCTTTCAACCTAGAAAAAAGTACCTTCTCACTCTAGTTACAGCACTGTAAGGAGAGAGGAAGAAAGTCTTTTTCCACAGGTATCTGTTAACACTTACTTCTTGTATGACTTTTTGGCACGGATGAGTCTGTCCATTTTCCACGATGGGATTGGTGTGTCTGTGGAAAGACAATGGCCCAAATTAGTGAAAGAAGAGCAATTTCACTGAGGACCCAGAGCCCTGTCCCTGTCACTCTACTTAGTTTCAGTCTCACCAAATTCAAAAAACCAGATAGTAAGGTTATTTGTAAGACTCAAAACCTTTCCCTCCTATTCCATTTAAACAAACACAAATGGTTTTAAATCATCCCATCATTTATCGCCACTTTCAAGCCACTGCCAATAGAACACATACACTCAATCTAACTCTGGATACATGGGCTGAGGATGTGGGACATCACAACCATCACTTTCATTTTTTCCCTTTATAAACCTGAATATGTAGTCTCTTCCGACTTGATAAACAATACATACAGACTGTCTGAATCCACCAAGAGAAACAAAGTACTGCTCCATTCTCAGCATTAAAAGTCAAAAGCTTCAGGAAATCTAGTCTGCCAAAGATGTTTCCCCTGATTCTAGTCTGAACCCAGTGATACATAAAACACACAGGTCCACACACCATGTGTCAAATCCAACTATTTGGCTAGTTCTAGAATCCACTAATTTGAAGCAGAAAAAAAACCTGAATAATTAACTACCAACGTCTTTAAAGAAAAGAAATTCTTTAATTAGGAAATGTTCAACAGTAATTAAAATTTACTTTCCTTTAAATCTAGGCAATTCCATCTATTGCAGATTTTTTCATTTATTGTGAAGTAAGAGTTACTGGTAATAAGCTTTCAGAATGGCATGTAACAGGGCTCTCTCCTTATTATACAAGCACTGCACTGACTCATATAAAGACAGCTGTTGACAAAAACTAATAAGCTGCCCTGGCTGGTGTGGCTCAGTTGGTTGGAGTGTCATCCCATAACTGAAAGGTTGCAGGTTTAATTCCCAGTCAGGGCACATGCCTAGGTTGCAGGTTTGTTCCTGGTCCAGGCATGGGCATGTGACCCCTGGCCTGGACACATATGGGAGGCAACTGATGGATGCTACCATTCTGCACTGATGTTTTTATCTCTCCCTTCTTCTCTCTCTAAAATAAATGGGAAAAAAGTGTCCTTTGGTGAGGATAAAAAAAAGGAAAACTAATTAGTTAAAAATGATGCCTATTTTAACTTATTCCACAGAAGCTTTTATGCAACTATTACTCTGATATTCCAGTTAAACTCATGGGTTGCACAAGCTATGAATTATGCAACTCAGTTAAGTATCCCTCTTTGAACATTGTCAAATGCTTTTATTTTCTTCTGCTGTTTTTCTCTGTTAATCTTTTAAAAAATATTTTATTGATTGTGCTTTTAGTTGTCCCCATTTCTCCCTTTTCCCACACAGCATCCTCCCACTTAGTTCATGTCCATTTCCTATACTGTTTTTAACCTCTCCGTCTATTTTGTACCTACCAATGTGTACTTCTTAATCCCTGCACCTTTTCCCCTATTCTCCCACAGGCCCCTCCCCAACTGGCCACCATCCCAATGTTCTCCGTATTTGTAATTCTGTTGCTGTTGGGCTTGTTTCCTTAGCTTGGTTTTTAGATTCAATTGTTGATACCTATGAATTTATTGCCATTTTAGCATTCACAGTTTTAATCTTTTTTTCCTTAAGTGCCTGTAACCTTTCATATAATGGTATGGTGATGATAAAATCCATTAGCTTTACCTTGTCTGGGAAGTGCTTTATCAACCCTCCCATTCTAAATGATGATTTTGCTGGATAGAGTAATCTAGGTTGTAGGTCCTTACTTTTCATCACTTTGAATACTTCTCATTAGTTTCTTCCAGCCTGCTAAGTTTCTTTTGAGAAATCAGCTAGAAGTCTAATGGGAACTCCAATGTAGGTAACTATCTGCTTTTCTCTTGCTTTTAAGACTCTCTCCTTAACCTTTGCCATTTCAATTATGATGTGTCTTGGTGTGGTCCTCTCTGTGTCCATCTAGTTTGGGACTCTGTGCTTCCTGGATCTGTGTGTCTATTTCCTTTGTGAAATTAGTAAGCTTTCTTTCATTATTTTTTCAAATAAGTTTTCAATTTCTTGCGCTTTCTCTTCTCCTTCTGGCACCCCTACGATGTGAATGTTGGTGCATTTGAAGTTGTCCCAAAGGTACCTTATCCTATTCTGGTTTTATTCTTTTTTTTTCTAAAGATTTTATTTATTTCTTTTTAGATAGAGGGTAAGGGAGAATGAGAAACATCAATGTGTGGTTGCCTCTCATGTGCCCCCTACTGGAGACCTGGCCCACAACCCAGGCATGTGCCAAATGGATATTGAACCAGTGACCCTTTGATTCGCAGGCCGGCGCTCAATCCACTGAGCCACACCAACCAAGGGCTTCAATTCTTTTTTTTTCCCTTGCTCTCTCTGATTGAATATTTTCTTCCTGATGTTCTAAATCATTGATTTAACCCTTGGCTTCATCCACTTACTATTAAATTCCCTGTAAATTTTTCTTTATTTCAATTAGTATAATGCTCATTTCTGACTGGATCATTTTTATGCTGTTGAAGTACCCAGTGGAATTCTGCGAGTATCCAAATAACCAGTGTTTTGAACTCTGCATCTGATAGATTGCTTTCCTCCATTTTGTTTAGTTCTTTTTCTGGAGTTTTGTTCTGTTTCTTCATTTGAACCATATTTTTTTGTCCCCTCATTTTGCCTGCCTCCCTGTATTTGCTTCTATGTATTAGATAGAGTGCTCTGACTCCCTGTCTTAGTAGGATGGCCTAACATAGAAAAGCCACAGTCAACTGCTTGGGTGGGCCCACAAGTTGGATCAGGTGGACCCTTAGGTAATTGTTAGGGTGGGGCTTACCTTTTTGCACAGGTTAATGGAGTCTCAGATATGGCACCGCTGTACTGTGGCTTTGTGTGGGGGAGGGCTCAGCAAAGGAGCAATGGCTCCTGCCTGGCCTCTCGAGTTTTGTCCAGGAGGAAGCTGTCCCCCAGATCTTGACCTGATGCAAAACACTTCAGTTCCTCTCTGTATGCCACTGGTGCCCTTCAAGCTGCTGCCCCAGCACTAGAGCCCAAAGGGAATGAGTCTGTGTAATTCCAGTGCAGGCCCTTTGTGAGGACATGCCTGAGAATCCTGCAGTTTCCTCTGCTGCCCCAATCCCCACTGGTTTTACAGCTAGAAGTTATGGGGAGTTATATTCCTGGCACTGGAACCCAGGGCTGGGTAGTCTGGCATGTAGCTAGGATTCCTCCCTCCTGAGATATCCTTCCTGATTTTTATCCATCACAGTGTGGGTGTGGGACTAGCCTGTTCTGTGTATCCAACCCTCCTACCCGTTTGAATCAATATAACCTCTTTAATCCCTTGGTTGTGGGACTTCCATATAGCTCTATTTTTGACAGTTTTGAGTGATAGTTGTTTTGTAGTTTAGTTATAATTTTTGCTGTTGTTGTGTGAGGAAGTGAGCCATGTTTACCTGTGCCTCCACCTTGACCAAAAGTTCTCTGCTTTTCCTTTTAAAAAAATATTTATTTATTTTTCTTAAAAGTTATTTATTTATTTACTTTTAGAGAAGGGAAGGGAGGGAGAAAAAGAGGGAAAGAAACATTGATGTGTGAGAGATACACACATCGGAAGATCAATCAGTTGTTTCTCACGCACCCCTAACTGGGGACTTGGATCAAGAACCAGGCATTTGCCCTGACTTGGAATGCAACTGGTGACCCTTCAGTTCATAGGCTGACACTCAGTCAACTGAGTCACACCTGCCAGGGAGATTTCATTTATTTTAAGAGAGAAGGGAGGGAGAAAGAGAGAGAGAGAAACACTAATGGGTTGTTTTCCGTACACTCTGACCGGGAACCAAACCCGCAACCCAGGCAATGTGCCTTGACTAGAAATTGAACCCATGACCTTTCACTTTGCAGTATGATGCCTGACCAACCAAGCCACAACGGATCAGGGTTAAAATGCTTGTTTAATCATTAGGTTCCTTTTGATGTCGAAGGATTAATTTCACCTGGTAACTGAAGAGATTTCATTATTGCCTTGTACCCATTACAGTACACAATGTGTCTGAAACTGTGTTGTCCCTGAATAGCAAGCAGCAGCAGCATCAGGGAATTTATTAAAAATGTAAATTCTTGGGTCCTACCCAAGATCCAATTAATCAGATCATCTGGGGAGGGGACCCAGCTATCTGTGTTTCAATAAGCCATACAGGTGACTCTGATGCATGTAAACTTAATTATATTTTAAAGGATCTTTTGACAAAGGTCTACCAAGAACAAGCTCTTAGAACTTGCCTTTGCCCCAAGACTTCAGGCAATGGTCTTAATTAAGTTTCCAGACACAGGAGATTACAGGAGATAGTTGGAAGTTTGGTTACAGGAGATAGTTGGAAGTTTGAGGGAACAGAACACTTGCTTTAATACATAAGGGTCTCACTTGTGCTTTTAACCCAAGGCAGGCATCTGGAGCCCCTCTTCTTACCTAAATATTACTGCAAGACGATCTAAGAACACAGTGGGATCTGAGGATATGCCATTGCTGGGCTCCTGAGACAACAGCTGAAGAGACAGATGTCAACACCCAGTCATTACAGACGCGAACCTACAGCAAACACTGCAACACAGAACCTTACACACCAACCTGTCTCAATCTGTTTATTTCTTGAAAGTTACTCAAATGGCGCAAACTTTTAATTCATATTTTCAAACTACTTCAATCCTCCTCACTGCATTCTGGCCAAGACTACATATTACTAACATTTTAATATATAATCATTGTGGAATGGAAAATATCATTTAGTTTTTTTCCATGTACTTTTATTATGATTGAGACATTATATAATTTAATGTAAATTATATACAAAAATAAAGATTTCATACATTATGACTGAGACATTATAATTTAATATAAATTACATATCAAAATAAAGCTTACATATATTATGTATTATATAATCTAATTATATTCCTCTTCCAGTAGAGCTTTGCATGTTAAAGAGAAGGCAGGTTGCCCCTTGTGCTTCTTTCCTAAAATTTCTCACATACTTCCATCAGCATTATCACCAGAGAGAAACTTTAGAATTATTCTGTCGTGTTTTCCTAAAAACACTACTGGCATGGTCACTGTTACTGCACTGTAGATGTAATTTGAGAAGAACTGCCACCCTTACTTCAAGGAAACTTGTTAACCTGAATGGTATTTTCCCCATTATTATATGTTCTAAATGATATCACTGATATAGTAAAATCTATTGATTTTTATACTTATTCTGTGTGTACAGCTACTTTGGCAGACATATTAATTTCAATAATTTTTCAGCTCGTTCTCTCGGATTTTATGGGTAGATAAAAGATCAAACGTAAATAAATAATTCTGTCTTTCCCTTTCTAACACATAAACATCTTAATGTGTCCTACCCCCTTACGTCACTGAACTCACCTTTTTTAATGCCAGGACCTGAACAGAACACAGCTCACTAAGACATTCAGTAATTTTATCCAATGGTAGTCTGGCCAGGACAAGTGCTGTTCCTACAAGTTGAAGGAAGATACACGTGAAGAAAAGAAAATCTGAAGTCAGGTAATTCATTTGGTCTACATCACGTGGTTAACCAAAAAGGCCGTGGTCCCATTCTTTCAAACAGATCAGCACTATTTTTTAAATTGCAGCGCTTTGTTATTGATGGTTGACTTTTCTTTACAGTAGCCTACTGGTTTAAAGACGGTTAAATATATCTCCCCTTCCAATTTTTCGAAGACTTGAAAGCTCCACAAAGCCAATGCCAAAGCTATTTTTATATAGTACAGTACGATGGTTCTCAAACTTCCCGGAGATTCTGATTTAGTGGGTCAGGGAGAGACTTTATTTTTGATAAGTACTGTAGGCAATTCTTATCTCCAGAAGCCGGAGAAATACAAATGTTAATTTGTTTTTGAAAGAATGAGCTGAAATTACAGAGTTAATTCTAGTTCTACCATAACAGAATCTATAAACTGGGTTTAAAGCATTCTCTCTGGGCATCAGTTTCTTTATCTATAAAATTATTGCTTTGAACACAAAAGTAACAGTTAAACTTACCTTTAAAATTTTTTTAAATAGCTGCAAAAGCCTCCCTCCTTACTTTTTCCCCAAATAAAACCTTAACTTAGAAATCTAATCCAAGATAGGATAAAGAGAGAGCGAGAGCGAGAGCGAGAGCGAGAGAGGTTAAAGTGGGGCTGGAGGCCAAGACCTTTCCCATTCGGCGCCCCTCTTCTTCACAGTCCCCACCAACTGCTGAAGCGACTCCCCGAAGCCAAAGGATGACGTATTAGACTAGGTCCCTTCCAGGCCCCAAATCTCTCAACTATCTCTCATCTCCTGAAATATCATTAACAATAACAGTAATCAATCCAGAAATCTTCAAATGTGAATTAAAAAACGGAATGATTTTTCCTAACAGCCTATTAGCCATGGACATATGGACTTGTGTTGAAAACTAGATTTTAAGTTAAAATCTAACATAAATATAATTGTTCCTTTTAATTCATTCCCACAGAAAAGACTGTAATTGAAAACAGTTTTCTATGTCCAGAAGATACCACTGAAAACTGGGATGCCACATTCTATTACAGGTAAGACGTCACTTCAGCATCAAGGTTAAATTTCACTAGAAAATGACCAGATGGCAACAATTGCCATAGTAGCAGTTACAAAGAATATCTGACTCTGATTTAATGCCTAATTATCTATGCCTATAAAGGGAAACAACAAAAACCCTACACAAAAAGAAAATCTGTCTTGGAAAATGCAGTTACACTGGCTGGTAGAAAACTTGTGGTAGAAGTGAGCAAGGACAGAGTTAGTCCACATAAAAGGTCATCCAGTCTTGCCAAGGCTAACTGTTCGCCATCCACACGGCCTCGACAGATGCCGCGCAGGTCATGTTACCCAATACTTTATTTGGTACACTCCCACCCCTCTCAACTACCAGATGTAAGGGTTTCGCTAACTCACGGGACACCTCAATCTGTTTTCAGAAAGTTTAGTTAGATGCATTTTCTTTCTAAGAGCCAGTACATTGTCAATAGTTGATCACTCATGGAAAATCTGTTCACTCTTTTATAACAATCTTCCAAGTATTTAAAAATAACCATCATGCTTAAAGTCACTTCTGAGTCTTTTCCCCTTAGCCTTAACCTCTCTAGTTCTATTACTCTGAGCTTCATCACCCCTCCAGCTGTTTGCCCCGACAGACAATTACTCAGTGCAAGCTCATCAGCAATGGTTAGAGACCATGAAGACACCAGGACCATCCTCGGATTCCAACTTGCAGGACTGATGCAGGCACACCACCTTTAAATTTCCATTCACCTCACCTCTTTGGTATGGCAATGCTTATTTGGTCTCCCTTTTTGTTCTTCCCCCAACTCAAAAAGGAACTGTTTAGTTCAAATGTGTTGTCTCTACCCAAAATCTCGGTCAGTACTATACATACTGTAAGCCGTTTGAAAAGATTCTGAGAACGTATGTGCACATAATCAACACTCTCCCCTCTGAGAGGAAAAGCTTACCTTACCCATCACTAAGTAAATTGCAACAGAAAAACTGGGACATGACTGATGTAAGATAACTCCCAGAAGTGGCTTAGAGAGACAGTTCCTGGTTAATATCTTAAGTAGATACCTTTTAGCAAGCCCACAGCAGCTTCTGGAGACAACATGAAGGAATCAAGGGAACGGGCAATCTCCAGGAGTCCATTAAAGTGCTGAGCCATGTGGTCTCGGCAGACAGAGCAAATGTTATGAATGGCTTTGGCTGCAGCAGAAGCCAGAGGCTTTTCACACAGGCCTTTCATCAAATAGCCCAATACAGGGTCTAGGGAAAAAAGCCATACAACAGAGATTACATATTTGAAACTCAAGGAAAAAGTCTAGTTTGTTAGAACAAATGTTTACATTCCCTTTAAAAATTTAAAAATTAATTTGAGAGAGAAGAAAGGGGAGAGGAGGAAAGGGGGAGAGAAAGAGGAAGGGTCGGGGGGTGCGGTGCAGAAAGAGACTGATTCATTGTTCTGCTTATTTACGCATTCATTGGCTGATTCCTGTCTGTGCCCTGACCAAGGATCAAACCCTCAACCTTGGCATATCATGACTCTCTAATCAACTGAGTGATCTGGACAGGGATCTCCCCCTTTTTTATAAGCAGAAGAACTATTTTTAAAAAATAAAATGTGTTCCAACCCCAATATGTAAAACATAAAAATGGAGCTGATCTCACTGACACAGTGTCAGGGCGCCCTGGGTCCTATTCATCTTCCATGTCTTTCCTCGTGGGCATTCAACTGCTGCTTGTGGCTAGGGCTACACAAAGCACAGCTTGAAAATTACTGGTGGACAGGACCATTCAAGTATTAATAATAGGGCAATATAAAAAAGAATGTAAGATGTAGAGAGTTACCATTATATTCCCAGATGCATCACCGTGTAAAAATAGCCTACGTTAATCAGAATAATGACAGTTATCTAGAGCTGACACTTTTACCCTTGCTTCTTTATAGTTATCAAGGGCCTTAAAAACCTGCAGATGGATCTTCAGCACTTCTGAAAGAATTATGTTTGATTGTTTACCAACTATAAGTGCTCCAAGAAAGCTTATTATAAAGATAAAGTTCTATAAAGGAAACTAACTTAGCAGTAATTCATAATATATTTACTTTCAGTGTCTAGAAACATCCTACCTAGCAATGAAAGAGATATCAGGAAAACAAGAGAAGAGGTAAGAGAAAGGAAGGAAAAAAATCAGAAAAATCAGAAGCAGAAGTGGCTGAGGGGAGAGTTCACACATACCAAGGAACTGAGGATTTCGGTCAACCACTTCACTCATCTCACCAACCAGTTCAATGCTGGTGTACCGCACAGCCATGTGCACAGTCTCGGGGAGACGGACCACTCCTTCTAGGACCTCCACAAGCGTTGGATTGTTCTCCCTGGGTAGAGAGGGCAAGCACTCAGAGTTACTTGAAGATTTCAGAGATTAGGTTTTGGCCAAGTAACAGGCTGCAATGACACAAAGCATTGCTAAAGGGCTTCTTTCTACATAAATAATCATTTGGATAAAAGTGCTTAACACTTGATAGGAAAGTTTTTTAAATCCTAAAAAAGGGGGGAAAGAACGGAAGATATCACTGTTTCGGGGGAAGCATATTGCTCCCTTAATCTTCTGAATGCCAGCGAAGTGTCTAAAGACACACAGTGCTATTAAATAAGGCTCTTCAAATTGGAGAGGCAGGCATTTACTACGGACCAATTTCTTTTAAAGAATCCGTTTTATTTATTCCTGTATCTGCAGCACCTAGAACAGTGCCTGGCACATAGTGGGCACTTAATAAATATTGCTGAATGGCTAAGTAAATGAATGAATACTTCTCATAGACCATGTTTTATTAGTTGTTATTCTCCAGAATATTTCTTGTAGCTGGGTACTAGAAACTTTAAGAATAGTTAGTCGTGGGTGGGCCGGTTCACTCACTAAAGTAACACGAACACAAGCTGCAGGTATATAGGTAAAGGTACCTTGACTTGGAACATGAGGGAAAATTAAAGTTAACGCAATACCTTCCACAGCTAGTGAATTTATATTTTCCTTTTTCTTCTCTCTTTTTTTCACTGCCCAACAATGCTAGTTATTTAAGCAGAGGATACCCCCAAGGTGGTAGAACATAATCCAGAAATGAAAGATGTTTAAAATGTAAACAATATCCTAAATTGCAGCAAGAGCACTCCCTGCGGATAAACTAAGTCTATTAAGTCCTTCATATACACTAAAAATTACAATCATGCAGATGGCCTGAGATGTGGACAAATATAAAAAAATAAAATTGTCTTTATGCCTATGTTTCCCAGGGACACTAAGTTAATTATTGACACATTTTACCTATCCTTTTCCACATCAACACATAACAGTTAGAACATTAGGGATTTTAATAATCTTCAGGCTGTCACTGAAGGTTCCAAAAAAACACCAAAACAGGTGTAAGAGCAAATAGGATAGTATGTAATTCAGGACCAGAACTTCAGGATCAGAGAAAAACAAGCCTATCCTGTGTCCTTAAATATTTACCGAATTAGAAACAATGTAAGATTTCATTGACTAGGCCCTGTAAGGTAGATAAGAAAGAAGGACTGTACTTTTTACAAATACATGCCTTAACCATCTCTCCAACCAAGGCCCTGGAGAGAGAACTCAACTATAAATGTCTGATCTTAATGCAAGTAAACCTCACAGATATTAGCATCAATTTATAAACTTACAGCACAAAGTGAACTCTGTTTTTAGGAATTCCCATTAAAGTCATAAATAGAAATTCTATGCTAAGCAGTTAGAAATTAAATTCTAATAATTTAAAAATTTCCAATGGCAATTGCACTTTAGATTTTGCTACTCTTTTAGGTAAAATGGTGCCTATGCCCTGCCTTTCTGAAACTCACAGATGACTAAGACAGAAAAAAAAAGAGAATAATATTTTGATTATACCAACTTTCATGAAGGCTCCTCAGTTAGATAAATAAATCAGCATCAAGAACAAAATAATTGTTACTCTAGGAAATGTGGTTACGACATGGATATCAGCAATGCATGCTACTCTGGACTAGACTCTAGAAGTTGGAAGACTAGACAGCAATTACAGAAGATGTTCTACGAGTTTCCAAACATGTATCACATAAGAAAAACGGTGTCATTTTCCTTCCTTTGATATTTAGAGTTCCCAGCAAAAGACTTATTAGACACTCACGGATCAACACTCTTTGCTATAGCAGCCATGATAAAGAGAACCGCTTCTGTCACCTCCCAGGGTGGGTTGCCTTCTTTCAGAGTAGAATATAACTAGAGAAGAAGAGGTGGATTACGGATCCATTAAAAGGCAAACAGAATAGAATTCCAAAACAAACAAAACAAAAATCCAGTTAGTTAAAAAAAAAAAAAAAAAAAGAAAATCCAGCCCCTTGTTTCTAAATGTCTCTCAGAGCCAGGGGAGATTATTATTTTCATTTTCATAGCTTCACTAATTATAAATCCATAAATAACTACTAAGGTCCCTAAGGTCCCTAAGGTCCCTAAGGGTATACCAAGATTATTGTCTGTCCCCACAAAATGACTATTATGTAAAAAATAAAACATATTACATAAGTATCTTTTCCTGGAACTGATAACTGATAAATTCATAAACACACTTAAAATTGAGATAAATACAAATTCTCTACATACGCATTGGCTTTATATCTCCATTGTCTGCATTGAACTGGTAGTATAGACTAAATTCCTAGAAAGTAGCTGTCTAAAAGCACCTATGATAATACCACGTCCAAGCAAGAGGGGATGGGGCGAGAGGGGAGACGAAGGAGACTGAGCAGAACAGTCAGACACGTCCAGATATAGCCCAGGGAATATCCATCTGTGGAATGTGACTGTGTTAGTCTAAATAAGATTTCTGTTGTCAAATAACAGGCCCTGCTAGGTAAGACAAAGTTAAATAATTGTTGTTACAGGATTTCACAGAGCCTTTAATATATTCTTTAAGTCATTTCCCCCCATTTCAGTTGATGCTAGAGCCTTTTCTGCCAAAGAATATCTCATGGGACTTGGTATCCTGGACAACACTGATGATTTCAGTAAATTTGTAAACTGAGATCGGGAGAACAAGTAACCTGCTTAAAGCCACAGAGCCAGCAGAAGAACTACAATCTGAACACGGGTCATCTGTCTGTGATCTGGGGATCTTACTCTTTTCTAAGAATCCCCAACCCTTTGTAGTTAGGTCAATAAACATACTCTGCTTAATATAAAGAAAAATAGTTATAGTTTTATTAATACTTTCTAGATCAGATTAAGCCCCAAAATACACAGAATGGCCGGGTTACAAAAATATTAGGTTAGTTCAGTATTGCCAACAAAGCATCAAAATCAGTATTTCTGAGCTTAAAGTACAATCAAGCAATATGAAAACCACCTGAAATTATGCTAATGTTAAGTGATGTGAAATGGTGATGACTGCAACCTTACGAGGTAAAGTGTTACTCACTGTCAGGAAAACCACACGACTATGAATCTTCTACTCTAGTATAGTCACCTCTGGGATGAAACTGCACAGGAATCCAACCGTAAGTGTGGACAAAGGAAACGCAAAATGACTAAACGAAATGAGTTGCCAGGAGTTGGTACAGAATTATTAACGCAGACAAACTTGCTATTTTTCCTGGCTAGGTCCAAATTCCCTGGAAGTATCTTGGGGGATTTAAGTTTATCTATGATCTTCCACTCCCTCTGGACAAATGGAATGGCTCTTACTAGCAAGAGTCATAGAGCAAACTTACGGAACCATCTACAGACTGCAATTGGCTTGTGAGAGAGTAAATAAACATAGCTACTATATGCCAGGCAGTGTGCTAGGCACCTGCATATCTATTGTTCTAGTTAGGCATTGAGACTAAAGGAAAAAATGGAACATTTACAGAAGACACAGAAGTGAACACAATTAAGGTGATCATTAAAACTGGGAAGAATCGCCGAATGGGCTTACCTGAGCAAAACACTCCATAGACCCAATCAGGAAAATCAAGTCTTTCACCAGGTCTGATACCCTCATTCGAAACTCCCCAAAGTCATCAGTCTCCTCAGGAACCCCCTCCTGAAATATCAAACCAGATAACATTTGTTTTAAACTCAATAAGGCTTTCACTGACAACTACAAAATCAAGAACAAAGAAAGGCCATCAAGTAGTCCAGACCCAATGCACAAAGACAGATAGATCACCTAAAAAAAAGGATATTTTACTTCAGAGTGTCCCACACTTTTAGGTATTTCAAGTCAATAAAAGGAAGTGACCTGGAAGAGGTGGTAATTTAATAGTTTGTAAGCTAATTTAAACATAGTCTAGCTTTTTAGTACTGAATAAGCTTCTGAAATTTTATGGTTCAAGGTCTACTAAAACCAACCATTATCACAATAGCTAGATGCAAAATAAAATTCATTATATAAAAAAGATTTTATTTATTTACTTTTAAAGAGAAGGGAAGAGAGGGAGAAAGACGGGGAAAGAAATATTAATGTAAGAGAGAAACATTGATTGGTTGCCTCTTGCACATGCCCCAACCGAGGACTGAACCTGCAACCCAGGCAGGCGTGTGCTCTGCCCAGGAATTGAACCGGTGACCTTTGGCTTTTTAGAACAATCCCCAACCAAGTCACACCAGTCAGGGCAAAATAAAATTCTTTAAAAAGCATTTTATATAGGTGAACAGGCTTATTAAAACAAGTTATAGTAAATAATAATAGAATTTAAGTAGTAGGTATACAGACATTTACTAGTAAAATCATTTCACCTTTGCAGCACATTTGAAATTTCTCATTAAAAAATAGAGATCATGTCTATTTCAGTGCTTCTTAAATATTTCTTATTTCAACATACTCTTAAAAGTAAACAAAAGCTTACCAATTGTGAGATGATTAAGGGCATGTATAAGACTCTTAGACCGTGAAATCTGAAAAAAGCCCTTAGTACTACTGAGAATTGCTGATCTAGTTCAACCTCCTTGCTGTCAGATGAAGAAATTAAAGTGAAGGAGTGAGGAGGAAAGGAAATGATGCCTTTCTCAGATGAGATCATGACTTACAAGGCACTATCCCCCTACAAGTGCAGGGAATTACCTGCAAGAGAAATGGTGCCAGAGACCAGCAAAGGGAAGAAAGGGATCAAGCAAGTAGAACCATTAAATGCAGAGTGGCCTGCTTTTATTTACATTATCAGTCTTCCAAGTAAGAGGTAGTTAAATATAGGATTCGTCAGTTAAAGAAAAGTATTGAAAACCACTAGACTAGATCATCACTAAGGCTCTGCAGAGACATAAAACGGCATGACTCAAGCAAGAATGTTAACATTAAAATGAAGAGAATAGACGGTTTTCATGACAGATTTAATTGTAAGAAATGGGGGGGGGGAACACCTCACTCCAGGTCCTAAATTGAAGACAAGGATTAAACCAACCAAATAACCAAAAGGATGAAATAAATGCTGTAAAATTTGAAGAGACTAGGCAAAGCAAAGAAAAGAGAACTCAGAAGCAAAATAGAGACAGACTCCTAGATAGAGAGCAGGCTGACAGCTGCGGAGAGGGACGGGAGCTGGGTGGATGGGTAGAGGGACTGGGCAAAAAAGAAAAAAAAGAAGACAGAACGCATGTCTGTGGACACCATCGTGGTGACTGTGGTGGGGAGATGACTGGTGGTGGGCAGAAACTTGACCTGGGGTGGTGAACACACAATACAGTGTACGGACAACGTGTGGTAGAACCGTGTGCCTACACAATTTTGTTAACTGGTGTCACCTCAACAAATTCAAGAAAAGAAAAAAGAGTTTTCAAATAGACTATTTTATAATATTTCAAGCATATTTTCCTGTACGCAAATAAATTATTTCTATATTTTCTTTAATATTACAAAATCGATGTACGAAACAAATGCATATGCGTGCGGGAGGGAAACTATGTTACTTTCCACATCCTCAAATATTTCACTTTTATGTTAGTTTGAATCCAATCACACATTTTAAACTATTAAAAATATAGAGTATAAAACTTTAGGTTCTGATTTTTTTTGTCTAGCATACCAACCATGAAACTCAGCAGTAATTATTTCTAACTGCTGCATAATGGTACATAAAGTTGCTACATCATTAATTGATATAACTCTTCTTATATGGTTGTACATGGGTTTACCATTTTTTTTACTTTTTAAATTTAAAATGACTCTTTAAATTTGTTTTTAAATTTTAATTTATTATTTTTGAGAGAGGGGAAGGGAAGGAGAAAGGGAGGGGAGAAACACTGACTAGAGAAAGAAAGACCAATCGGTTGCCTCCTGCAGCACCCTGACCAGGGACAGAACCACAACTCAGGCATGTGCCCCGACCAGGAGTCGAACTAGCGACCTTTCACTTTGCAGGACATCGCCTAACCAACTGAGCTACACTGGGCAGGGTGTACCATTTTTTACTTTTATAGATAATGCTTTCTGCATAAAGTGGGGTTGTTTTTCCTTTTGCAGAGTTACTTAAAATAAATTCCCAGGAGAATTACTGGCTCTGCAGATTCAATTTCTTTGTATGTAGGCCTAATCTCTTCATTGTACTGGCATTGGCTTCTTCAGTTTAAGCTATAGAGTAACAAAACCCCTACAGATTCCATTAGCTTTATTCTCAAAAGTTCCTCCTCAAAATAGAAAAGAGGCGGAAATTAAGATTTAAAGAAGCGGAGAAGAGAACGTACGTGGTCTGGTTCCAGCTGGCAGTGTCGAGCCAAGGCATGAAGCAGCCTCTGAATGTAAGCTTTAAAGATGCCATGAATAACTTCATCGTTGGTTTTGTACAGATGCTCCCCTAGTCGGTACCAAAAGTTAAAGGAAATTTCTACTACCTGTTAAATGAGAGAGAGAAAGAGAAAAAGGAAGGGAATGAGTTTTATTTTTACTAGGGTCATAAAGGAAACAAGGTAAACTTTTAACTGATGTGAATGGAACCAATTAAGAAGCCACCTTTTTTCTAGCAGATTTAATATCCTCCTCCCAAATTACTTTCTTATGTTAGAACCAAACTTCCATTTAGGATGACTGGCTTTACATTCTATGTTTAGCCCTGGGATAACTTCTCCAACAGTGTATTAGATTATGAATTTAGAGAAGCAGGCAGAAAAGTGGAAGTCTCTTCAAATTTTTTCCCAAATTCTAAAATAATTTCATTTTATGCCTGAGATTAGAGCACCTCTAACCAGACAAACCATATGCAAATCCCTGAACACACCAACCTTATGTCACTTTTATCCACTTGATTTCTTAAATGGGAGAGAAAGGGAAAAAACACTTTATCCACAGCTTATCTTATGGCACTGTTTAAACGAGTGGTAATCATTATGTAGTGCTATACGTCCTTCCCAAAATACTTTGAGTTTCATTCAAATCTAGATATCCTCACGAAATGACATAAAAGAAATAAACATTATCTTTTATTTTTAAATCCTCACCTGAGAACATTTTGTTTCATGCTTTTAGAGAGAGAAACGTCGACGTGAGGGAGCAACATTCATTGGTTGCCTCCTGTACACACCCAGACTGGGAACTGAACGCAGAGCTGAGATGTGTGCCCAGATCAGGAATCAAACCTGCAACCTTTCAGTTACCAGATGATACTCCAACCAACTGAGCCACACCAGCCAGGGCAACATTATCTTTTATATGATAATAAAAAAGGGCTGAGAATCACAAGACTATTGTGCCCTCCCTAAGAAGGGGCCCTACATCATCATTTTCCCATCAAGGATCCAAAATAGAGCTATCTAAAACAATACCCAGCCCTGGCCAGATGGCTTAGTTGGTTGGAGGGTCATCCCATACCTCAAAAAGGCTGTAGGTTCAATATCTGGTCAGAGCATAAACCTAGGCTGCAGGTTCAACCCCTAGTCGGGCAACGGATCATTGTCTATGTTTTTCTCTCAAATCGATGTTTCTCTCTCTCTCCAATTAGTAAACATATCTTTGGGTAAGGATTAAAAAAATATAAAACAATACCCATCTTGGAGGTTCTTTTTCACTTCTTATACTATTAAGAGAATTAAAACTACTTGAATAAATGAAGAGATAAAATCTAGTGAACTTAAGAGGGAGGAAGGATGTCTTACATCAATTTTGGAATAAAGGAGACTTTAGGTCCTTTTAATCCCTTTCTCATTCCCATCCATAATTTGGGGACAAATTTTGGATGTTAAGACTTGTAGAGATGCTGTTAAGATATGGTGTGGGGTTTTTTTGTGCTTATGTTTTTCGGCTGTAAAGCTCTAGGAATAACTGGAGATAGAGAGGGGCTTGGCAGAAAGACAGGCGGCTTCCTCACGGGCTCCCTGAGATGCACACACCAGTCAGCCCAGCTAACCAGATAAAAAATAGAAAAGGGTTCAAAGAGGAAGCCTAAATATAATGATTTTCTAAAAATCCAATACAGAGGTAACCCCCACATCAATTAAAAATAAGACTATAATTTCCCACAAATGTAAAGCTGGACGGGAGGTAATGGAATATAGATAATAGGCAACATAAAACTTGAATAATGGCTTTAGCATAGTATAAATACTACCTCATACTGAGGGTGTCCTGCACAGATAAGGAGCAGTTCCAGAGTTCGTAGGTCCCCAAGACCTTGGCCTGGAGTACAAACAATTTTTTCAAGAAAAGTCTCACATAGTTCAGTGAAAATACGGCAGTAATTCAGAACTCTGTAGATGAAAGAGGAATGAGAGCACCAAATCAGAAATCTTGGTATTATATGTATATACTCACCAACAGTTAATCAAACAAAGAAAAAAGTCCTCAGACACAGGACACGTAGTGATTATTTGCTGTGCTGTACTCCTATCCCCGTGACATCTACCACTCCTTACACCATATACTTTCATACATGTAAGCAAGTGACTCATAAGCCACTTTGAATCCTCAATTACTAAATGTTTGAACAAAATTCCCATTAAATCACACTTGACATTTCAAATTCATCCCTAACTCTTAGAGCCTTACTCCTCATAAGTGTAAAAAAATGACTACTTTCCATGATCACAACCTTTTTCTCTGTATGCAATTTGCCATTCTAGGTTCAGTTGAGAAAGCAGAGATGCAGGATGCAGTGTAGATATTTATACAGTCACAAAGAATCACAAATAGGTAAATAATGAAAAGTGACTAAAAAAACACCAGACTGTACGTGAACTTAGGGCTACTGCCTTAAATACTCACTTGTCTAAATCTTCACGTGCCACAGCCATATGATAGGCAGTCTCCAACGTCAGGACTCCTTGAAACAGTTGCATTGCTAATGACAAGTTCGTCTCTACATTCTCAATGGCATAGAGAGCTGAGCACACACAGTCTGAAGCAGCTTCATGGAGGTTGGATGAGGTCTTATCTTGTTGCTAAGAAATAGCAGGAATAGGGAAGACGTATGATCATTAAGCTGAAATCCAAGTAAAACATAAACAATTATAGCCTGTTACTGAACATGTAATTAAATGCCTAAAGCCTGCTAGCCATGACCTTTGACAAGACAATATCCATCAATCTTCCCAGTGCTATTTCTGACTATTTTCCTATTTGCCAAGCAAACCATCCTTCCTATACCCCAATCACCATCATATGGCTTCTAAAACCCATCTTTTCATATCAGTCTCTCCAAATGGAATGTCATGTGTGTTCCCTGCCCTTTCAAAAAAATTACGTTGATTTTTAAACAGAAGAAGGAAGAGAGAGACACAGAGAGAGAAATTCCAATTTGTTGTCCCACTCACTTATGCATTCATTGGTTGTTTCTTTTATGTGCCCTGTCTGGGGATTGAACCCACAACCTTGGATTATCAGGATGATGCTCCAACCAACTGAACTACCTGGCCAGGGCTCCCTGCCCTATTTTAGTCTCTGGATATTTTTCCATCCTTTTCCTGACATTATAGTGCTATCTAAAATGAAAGGGTCCAGCAAGTATCAAGGACCCATACATAACACATCAATGTGACATTTCAGAATATCACAGTGAAAGAGGTTATCAAAGTTTCTGGAGAGGAGAGAAGGTAACTCAGAAAGTAACAAAAATCTCATTAGCAATAATGTCTGCCAGATATAAGAGGCCTTGAAAATTTTGAAGGGAAAGAATACTGAACTCTCCGCCCAGCTAAACCAAAGAGAGAATGAAAACAAAATAAAAATATTTATCAGGCATGCAAAGAAATTTACTTCCCACATATACTTGAGGAAGGTATTTCAGGAGGCTCAAAAAACAAGTTAATCCAATCTAGAAGCATAGTAAAAGTAAATAAATAAAATCTTTGTAAAAAATAATGCTCTTTATTTTTATTTATTAGATAAAAAATAATGTTCTTTATTTTTATTAGATTAAAATGGACATTATTAGAAACACAACTGTATATTTCTAAAACAAGGAAAAAGAGACCAATGGTGTTTTGTTACTTGAGTTTTAATATGTAAGTAACTGACCGTGTACACATAAGATTGCTTTCCTATTAAACCTAACTATATTCCACTCTGAATATTAAAAGTAATACCTTACTTAGGTACCTGGCAACAAAGGGACCCTGGTGCTTTCCTACTATATACACAGAAATATGAAAACACTGTTGTGTCACTGAAGGTTAGCTACTGGGTAGAAATACTTTTGTAATGAAGCCATTACTTACCAAAACCTCAAAAAGGAGTGCTAATAACTTATTGTTAGCCATGAAGTTACTATCCAGAACACCTAAGTTAAACCAACTTCCCAAACAGCGAAAGACCTTCATAAGCATTTTCTCATCTGTTCCTACTTTTTCTACACAGGTCATCTGAAAGGAAGGAAAAATAATAATGTCAATCTTTATATTTAAACCATTATTACAATTTTCACTATTACAGATTAATAAGGAAAAGGATGAAAACAGTAACAGCTGGGGATGCGTGGGCCAGGAGGCTGTGAGTGGGTGAAAATGGAGACAACTGTACTTGAACAACAATAATTAAAAAACAAAACAAAACAAAACAAAACAGTAACAGCTAACAGAAGTCCTTTGTAAGTATAAGACTTTGTTCTCGAAACTTTAATTCCTTTGATCCCCACTAACACTCTATATGTAGGTACTATTATTACCTTTACTTTCTCAGTTGGGAAGCTGAGATACAAAGAGGTTATATACTTGTTTTGGAAATAACTATGTTTCTTACATCCCACTTCTGCATTAATTTGATCTTATCAGTAGAACTGTCTTTAAAGTAATACTCATCTATGGTTGATTTTATAGAATAAAAGTAAGCTAGTCATACTCCTGTATATTCCCACGTGAAAAGCTGATGTTTTAGCTTCAGCACTTGAACACTCAAGTAAATATGCCACCCCACAGAATATGACAGTACTATGAATGTGATAGTTTATAAAAGAGATAAAAAAATGTTAGACTAAAATTCACCACTGCTTCTCTTTGCAAACTGGTTTTGTGAGGTATATTTTTCCAAAGAGAAGTGTAATGTAACTTTTTCTGTATAAAAAGTGTTTACATCACAACTGTAGAATTACAGGAATTCTGATGATGATATTAAGGGGAATAACCAAAATAGAAGGCCCCATTTTAACAACTGACATGAAAAGAACTTTTTAGCAGAAAAAACAACTTCATTTTGGAACTGTTTCCCATGAAATAGGAGCTTTCCCCATCATTTAAGGAGTCTGATCATTTAGAGGCCACAGAAAGAGGCAGCTGTAGAATCTGATTATCCAAGTACTCCATGTGCCTTTATTAAACTTAATCACAATACTGTCAAACTGTCATGATCTCACTAAGCAATTTCTTTTTGCTGACAGTTAAAAATAAAACCCTGAATATATTTTTAGTCTATCTACTGGATGTGTTGCCTATTTTCTTCATAAATATAATACAACAATCTAATAACCTAAAAGAGTATTTAAAAATAACTTTTATAGGCAATGAGTAGGAAACATAAAAATGGAGATAGAAAATATTTTAAAAAGTCAGAAATAAATACATAACAGGGTAGCAACAGTAGAGCAGGTGAAACAGAGGATCAAATCAGTGTTTCAGAAATAAAGAAGCAGAAAATACCCAATCAGAACAGCAAAAAGAAAAACAGAATTCAAAAATACAAAGACAGTTTCAAAGACAGTTTAAGGAGCCACTGTGACAGCTTAAAGGGTACCAACAGTTGCATCATGGGACTGCTATAAGGAGAAGAGAGCAAAGAATCAAAAACCTATTTGAACTGTACTGAATTGAAGTGGAATAAAAAGTAACGACAGAAAACTTCCCTAACCTGGTGAAGGAAATAGACATACAACCCAGGAAGCACAGAGTTCCAACAAGATGAACCCCAAAGAGGCTCACACCAAGACACATCATAATTAAAATGACAAAGGTTAAAGATAAAGTGAGAATCTTAAAAGCTGCAAGAGAAAAGCAGCTACCTACAGTGGAGCTCCCATAAGACTGTCATTGATTTCTCAATAGAAATGTTGCAGGCCAGAAGGGATTGGCACAAAATATTCAAAGGGATGAAAAGCAAGGATAAACAACCAAGATTACTCTACCTAGCAAAGCTCTCATTTAGAATCAAAGGACAGCCCTGGCTGGGTACTTCAGTTGGTTAGAGCATCATCCCATTACACCAAGGTTGTTATACCAAGGTTGCAGATTTGATCCCAGGCCAGGACACATTTAAGAATCAACCGGAGAATAAATTCTGGCCAAGATGAAGGCTTAGGTAGAAACACTTTGCTTCCTTGCACAACCAAAAAAAGGATAACAACCAATTTAAAAACAATAAACAATCTGCCCTGTCTGGTGTAGCTCAGTGGATTGAGTAGCCAGCCTGAAAACCAAAGGCTCACCGGTTCAATTCCCAGTCAGGGAACATGCCTGGGTTGCAGGCCCGGTCCCCAGTGGGGGCCACGTGAAAGGCAACCACATATTGATGTCTCTCTCCCTCTCTTTCTCCCTCCCTTCTCCTCTCTCTAAAAATAAATAAATAAAACCTTAAAAAAATATCCTTACATATGCTATGTAGAAGATACTCACTTTAGATTAAAAAACTCATACAGACTGAAAGCAAAGGGATAGAGAAAGATATTTCATGAAAATGGAAACAGAAAAAAAAAAAGAAATAGGAAAAAAAACTGGGCAGCAATACTTATACCAGACAAAACAGATTTTAAAACAAAGGCTTAAGACCAAGAAGGACCCAGTAATTCCACTGGGTATTTATCTGAAGAAACCCAGAACACTAAATCAAAAAGACTTATGCAGCCCTGGCTGGTGTGGCTCAGTGGACTGAGTGCTGGCCTGTAAACTAAAGGATCGCAGGTTTGATTCCTAGTCAGGCCACATGCCTGGGTTCCAGGCTAGATCCCTAGTAGGTGGCACACAAGAGGCAACCACACATTAATGTTTCTCTCCCTTTCTTTCCCATCCCTTCCTCTCTAACAATAAATAAATAAAATCTTTTTAAAAATCTTGAAAAAAAAAAAAGATATATGCATCCATATGTTCACTGTAGCATTATTTACAATAGCCAAGATATAAAAGCAACCTAAGTGTCCATCAATAATAGATAAATGAATAAATAAGAAATGGTGCATATATATATAATACGACATGACTCAGCCATGGGGAAAAAAATGAAGGGGGTATAAGGGGACTAAATGGTAATGGGAAAATAATACAATAAAGGGTAAATAAAATAAATAATGAAATCTTGCCATCTACAAAACATGGGCAGACCTAAAGGGTATTGTGCTGAGTGAAATAAGTCAAACAGAGAAAGATAAATGCCTTTTGACTTCACATATACGTGGAATCTAAAAAACAAAGTAAACAAGCAGACCAGAAACAGACCCATAGATAGAGAATATTTTGAAGGTTGCCAGATGAGAGAGGGGTTGGGAGACAAGTGAAGAAGGAAAGGGATTAAGTACAGATTGTTAGTTACAGAACAGTCATAGGGATGTAAAGTACAGCATAGGGAATACAGTCAATAATATTGTGTGTTAGATGGGTATTAGATTTATCAGGGTGATCACTTCATAAGTTATATAAATTTCTAACCACTGGGTTGTATACCTGAAACTAATATAATTTTGTATATCAACTGCAATTGAAAAATTTAAAAAATACTAAAAAAAGAAGAATGGATCCATTTGAATAGATTAGAAAAGTAAAATACTAGTAAGAAATTGGGATGGAATAGGACCACTAAAGAGAATGTGGGGGAGATAGAATTAAAAGGCTTTAAGAGGACTTTGGTACCTGATACTATAGCCAAACAACTATTTTTCTTAGCAATTATGTACTAATTTTATCCTCTGGTTCTGTAACATGACAAGTTACATGACAGAAGTATAGACCTTCTTATTAGATACCACAGGGATATATTTTTCAGATTCCATCACAACAAATCAAGCAATCAAGTGTGCCAATTATGAGGAAGTGCTACGTCAAGCACATGCTTGAGAGCCCAAGTGGCTGCTGCACTTGACCACTGTGGCAGTAACGATGGCGTTAAGGACAGCAGTGTTGACTGGATTCTCCTGACTTCCCTTGAGCACTTACAAAAAGAAAATGACAAGCTTAGGTTCACTGACCCTCAGCTCAAGGCACAGTCTGAGAAGCAGAAAGCTTCTGTAACAGCTGTAAATGAAGCTCTTATTTTTGGTAGTTACAGGGCTGAGACTCATACACAAAATTTAATTGCGTGTCTTGCTGATTACAAGCAACAGTTAAATTTACAATCCCTCTAAGTTTCTCATATGAAAGTTAGGGACTGTTAAAGAATGGGATTCTGAAGTGTGGAAAGTAGACATCTGGCTGGACCCTAATGAAACTGACCACCTTAAAGCCCCAGGTCACTCTGACTCTCCCTTACCAGGGGAAGAAGCCTGCCTTCCAGTGTCTGAGAAGACTAGCCCTCCTCAGCATGAAACCCCTGTAACAACAGATACACCGAAAGGGGAGGCCCATTCTCTTTAGGACCTACCACAACCAGCCCCTGTGTCACCCATAACTAGAGTCACAACTCAGCATGTACCAAGGGCACAGGTACACGCAGGAGGAAATAACTCACGTACCAAGAGAATTGTAAAACTTTGCTAATACGTATCTGAAGAAACCTGGGGAACATATGTGGAAGATTGTCTAAGGGTGTTAAACCAAGGGAGGCTGGTACCAGACTAAACCAAAGTCATTCATATGAGTGTACTTCCTAGAGATTCTAGGTTTCATGAGTATATGGAACCTCTGGGAAACACCAACAGGAAAACCACGGTGTAAACATCTAGGATTCTGGAGCAAATTTATGCCTTCTTCTGCAGGTTAACTATTTTTCTTTTAGAAGCAGTTTCTGGCTTTGCTACTCAGCCCAGGTAGAGACTGAATATCTAATGATGGGACATCAGGTGATCACGTGGTCTGAGCTTCCCATCTCAAACCAAGTCTGTCTGAACTACTTTGCCATAAGGTTGGGCCTGAGTAGCAGCAATCTGTCATCAAATGGGCACGGTTTATAAGACACTAAGTTCAGAAATGTCTGGAAGGTAGCCCTGGCCGGTGTGGCCCAGTTAGTTGGAGCATCATCCTATAAACCAAAAGGTAGTGGATTCGATTTCCCAGTCAGGGCACATGCCTAGGTTGAGAAGGCAACCAATCAGTGTTTCTCTCTTGCATCCATGTTTCCCTCCATCTCTCTCACTCTCCCTTCCCCTCTTACTAAAATCAGTGACCATACCCTAAGGTGAGGATTAAAAAAAAAGAAAGGAAGGAAGGAAGGTCTGGAAGATACAAGCTATATGAGAGCAGGTGGCTCAGATTCTCTCGACACCAGCTCTTTGTACATTGATTTACCCGCCTCGATCCATCTCCACAGCCTCCTGGGGTGTTCCTTACAGTCAGATAACTGAAGCAGAAACCTCAAGCCTGGATTACAGATGGGTCTGCACAGTATGCTTGGACCGCCTGCAGGTGGACAGCTACAGCATTACAGGCCCACTCAAGTGCCTTAGTGAAGGAGTGCTGTTGAAGACAAACCCCCCTACTGGGCAGAACTTGCATATTTTCTACTTGTTTGTTACACCACTGCATAGGAGTTTAAATGTATGTAGAAGAGTGCATATGGAAGCTGTGTGTCAAATGAGAAGGCCATGGCTGGTTACAGATTTAGTGCTACTCAGCACCAAATTTAATCTCTTAGACTACTCTATAACAATGGATCTAGGCTCTTTGAATATTTTTTTTCCTGTGCCAGCTAGCAGTAACTTTTTTTCCAAAAGGACATTGGAAGAAACTGCCAAAGGAAAGGGGTCCCGCTTCCTGATTCCAGTGAGCTCACTTGGCAGCCTTCTGCAGAATATGCAGAAGGAATCTGCTCCCCAGACTCCTAGCTCCTCTGGTGTGGGGCTCTTGCAGTGCACTGGCCAGCAGTTTTCCCCACAGTCTCCCTCTCCCCATCCCCTACCAACAGTTTTCTAGTGAAGTGCTTCTGGCTCCTAAGGAATGTACAGTAAAGTCCTCATTTAAAGCTGTTGATGGGTTCCTGGAACTACAGAACAATGTATGCAAAAAAATTTCATCACTGGCTAATTGATATAAAGAAGAGTTAAGTTCCTAGTGTGCATCTCACCAGTTTTAGAGGAAAATGTTGTCGAATGACACAACATTACTGAAGGACCTGCTATACAACTTCTCCACCACTAGATTCAGTGCGCTCAGCTTCTCCAGTGTCCACAGAGCACAGCAGCCAGCAGCCTCCCCTGCTATTCCCACACCCAGATGCTTTTGTGGCAGAGTACCTCTACTGAGGCACTTCCCCAGAACAGTTTTTCTGGGCTTCCTGGAAAGCAGATCTCTAGCAAGTTCAAGAGGACAGATTTCCAGCAAGTTCAAGAGGACAGATTTCCAGCAAGTTCAAGAGGACAGATTTCCAGCAGCGTGCAGCACAATGGCTTCTCTGCCAGGGCTATGCCCTCTCCAGTACCCACTGGATCTAAGCCCTGAAAGGGGGATGACCTCTCCATTCCTCGGAAACTCTATCTCAGCCTTGGGGCTAATGACTGCCCCAAATTTTTTTCTCTCTTTGTTGTACTGTTTTTGTTTATAGCCTTTAGAGCTCTCTTTATTTCTTACTAGATAATCCCTCATTACTGCAACCTCCTGTTAGAATTAATCATTCTTTACATTAAACATTCCCACCTATTACTGTGTACTTTCTTTCTACTGATTGGACTAAGACTGACTTTAAATGGAACCAAAGACTAGCTTGACACAAGGAGGTAGCAAGATAAGTATGCTATCTTTAGAAAAAAAACTGTATTTATAATTATAGAGAGGGGAAGGGAGGAGAAAGAGAAACATCGGCTGGTTGCTGTTCACATGCCCTCAACAGGGACCTGGCTGGAAACCCAGGTAGGTGCCTAGACAGGGAATCGAACAGCAGCCTTTCAGTCTGTGGGATGATGTCCAATCCAGTGAGCCATGCCAATCAGTGCAGTATGTCATCTTTTTGTATTAGGAACCAAAAAAGTTCTTCAGTGGCCAAAGTTATGGCATTTTAAGCATCAGAAGAATGATTTCGGTGGAGACCCTAAATCAATGAAAATCAGTGAGACTGGGCCTCTGTTCAATATAGGTAAATGTGCTTTGCCTCCTCACGTAACCATAGAAAGAATTACAACTAGACCTCAAAACAAGTAACACCTAGAACTGTCAGAAAATTGAGCCGTATGGAAGTCCCGACAACCAAGGATTTAAACAAGACAAATTCATCCAGATGGGTAGGAGAGGCAGAGACATGGTGTGGTCCAGAGATGTGGTGTGCTGCAGGTAGACAGCGGCAGAGGAAGGGGCGGTCTCACTTTCACATATGGTAGATAAAAAATTGGGAGGGATACCCTGGGAGTGAGCAATCCCAGCCCCAGGCCAGACCACACAGCCCAGGGTTCCAGTGCCAGGAAGACAAATCCCCGTAACTTCTGGCTCTAAAAACCAGTGGGGGCTGGGGTGGCAAAATAATCTGCCGTTTTTCAGGAGACTCAGCTTAAAGGGCCCACATGGACTTAAAACAGATGCAGACCCACCCCCTCTGGGATTCAGTACCAGGACAATAGCTGGAAGGGCTCTGGTGGCACAGGGCGAGTGTTGGGCAAACCTCCAGAAGCCAGGCAGTGGCACTGTTCCCTCTTCGAGCCCTCCCCTCACACAGAGTCACAAAGTGGTGAAACGGGTTGCCCCACCCTGCCAAGTACCTATGGCTTTGCCCCACGCAACATCCAGGTGCCTTTTCTACAACAGGCCACACTACTAAGACAGGGAGTCAAAGCAGCTCTACTTAACACACAGAAATAAACACAGGGGGCTGCCAAAATAAGGAGACATAGAAATATTGTCCAAATGAAAGAACAGAACAGAACCCCAGAGAAAGAACTAAACGAAACGGAGATGAACAACCTATCAAATGCAGAGTTCCAAACACTAGTTATTAGGATGCTCAAGGAGCTCAGTGGGTATTTCAACATCATAAAAATGATCCAATCAGATATAAAAGTTACACTAATTGAAATAAAAAAAAATTGCAGGGAACCAACAGAGAAGAGGATGAAGCTGGGATTCAAATCAACTATTTGGAACACAAGGAAGAAATAAGCATTTTATCATAACAGCAAGAAGAAAAAAGAAAAAAAAAACCGGAATAGTGTAAGGTGCCTCTGGGACATCTCCAAATACACCAACACCTGAATCAAAGACAAGATAGAAGAGAAAGAGCAGGAAATTGAAAACTTATTTGAAAAAATAATAAAAGAAAACTTCCCTAATCTGGCAAAGGAAATACACATACAAGTCCAGGAAGCACAGAGTCCCAAACAAGCTGGACACAAAGAGGATCATACCAAGACACATCATAATTAAATTGCTAAAGGTTAAGGATAAAGAAAGAATCTTAAAAGCAGCAAGAAGCAGACAATTATCTACAAAGGAGTTCCCATAAGACCGTGAGCTGATTTTTCAAAAGAAACTTTGTAGGCCAGAAGGGACTGGCAAGAAGTATTCAAAGTAATGAAAAAGCAAGGACCTACAACCTAAATTACTATATCCAGCAAAACTATCATTTACAATGGAAGGGCAGATAAAGTGCTTCCCAGCAAGGTAAAGCTAAAGGAGTTCATGATCACCAAGCCATTATTGCATGTAATGTTATAGGGCCTTACTTAAGAAAAAAAAGATCAAAACTATGAACATTAAAATGGCAACAAATTCACAACTATTAACAACTGAATCTAAAAAAAACCCAAACAAACAAACTAAGCAAACAAGCAGAACAGAAGCACAGAAATGGAGATCATGTGGAGAGTCATTTGCTGGGAGGGGGAAGGAGGAGAATAGGGGGAAAGTGCAGGGATTAAGAAGCATAATTAGTAGGTATAAAATAGACAGGGGAGTGTGAGGAATTAAATAGGAAATGAAGAAGTCAAAGAACTTACATGCACAACCCATGGACTTGAACTAAGAGGGGGGATTGTTGGAGGGAAGGTGGGATACTGGGCAGAGCGGGTCAAAGGGAAAATATTGGGACAACTTTAATAGCATAATCAATAACACATATTAGAAAAAAGAAAGAAAAAAAATCCTTGAGTCCATAATAGTTCCTTCATAAAGAGAAAGCCAGAAAAAAAAAAGGTAACATTTGAGATGGCTTTAAAACAAACCCTTATTTTGAAAACATTAAATTAAAAAAGAATTAAGACATCCTGACTTTCTCATAGGAACTCAGAAGATTGCGAACTACTATGTAGCAGAGTGAATTATACAACTAATAAAACACTATTTACAAGCTACAATGAAATTAGCAAGGCAAAGAAATTTTGCAAAGAAAGCTACTTCACAATTATGAAACTGAATTACAAAATAACCACCATGGTTTCTGCCCCTAGGCAGTTAGTATTTGAAACCTACTCACCAACAGAGATACCACTGTACTAGAGTAGAAGGCCAAATCTTCTATAATTTCTGTGCGCCGGTTAGCTCCAATTCGTAAGGAACGACTGTGTACTTCTTCAGGCAACACTGTAAGGATCTCCAGCAGAAAAGGCAGAGAAGTTACATCATTGCTGTATCTAGAAAAGGAGAGACATAAGTTATTACTTAGAGTCAGAAAAAATACAATCATATAGGCTAACAGCAGCCATCAGAATAACCTATGACAACAAAAGCAGCATTCTCACTGTTAAGAAGAAAAAAATAAATTTTTAAAGGGTAGCTAAAAATCAACATTTTAATTTGCATAATCTCTGACCCAGCAATTCCACTTCCAGAAATTTACTTTTTCAAAAAATCTCATAAGAACATACAAAGATGTATACTGCAGTACTTTTTTATAATAGCAAAAATATTGGGAAACCATAAAGGTCCTTCATAATTAAACAGGATTAAAATGGTTACAGATAATTATACAACAGAACATGTATTGCCATTATAATGAGATACCTATCTATGTCTCACAGGAAAAGAATCACAATGTATTAAGTAGAAAAAGTATATGAAACATATTACATATGAGTGAATAAACACATATATAAGCATATGTATATTAAACCATGTACGCACACTCTGGCCAGGTTGCTCAGCTGGTTGGAGCATCATCTCCTACACCAGAGGGTTGTAGGTTCGATCCCTGGTCAGGGTGTGTGTGAGAGGCAACCAACTGATGTTTCTCTCTTACTCTCTCTCCCTGTTTTCCTCTCTCTCTAAAAATCAATGAACATATTCTCAGGTGAGGATTAAAAGTAAAATAAAATATGTATGCACCTATTTATTTTAAAATGCTTAAAGGAAAGTCTAGAGGGATATATAGTCAATCATTAGTAGTTACTATGAAATATAGGAATAAGGAGAAAAAAAGGTGTTTGTTTTCTTTTTACTTTGAAATAAAAAATAAACTATCCATATAAGGTCTTCAATGACATACTGTGGTTGGAGGTAAAAAACAACCACTTTGTTAAAAAAATAATTTCCTGACCAAATGCCAAAATGCAAACAAGTATAAAGATTATCTTGTCAAGAACATAAGGAAATGCTTTATTTAAAGAAGCAGGCTCCAAGTATCTAAAAATAATATTGTCCCTTTGGTAGACATGAAACACACCCCAATCAGTAAGAATATATACTCCTAACAATTCACAATTAAATATCACCTCAAACATTCTCTAATATTTTTATAGAACTGCTGATATATCAGTGGGAGTGATCAATGAGGCAATGAAAGACTTTGCTGCAGTTACTTTAAGTGATACGTGTGTGCATGTAAATTATGAGGGTGTTTTTTTTTTTAAGACTTTATTTATTTACTTTTAGAGAGAGGGCAAGGGAGGGAGAAAGAGAGGGAAAGAAAATACATCAATCTGTTGCCTCTTGCGCACCACCAAATAGGGGCCCAGCTTGCAACCCCGGCACATGCCCTGACCGGAAGGAAACAGGCAACCTTTTGGTTTGCAGGCCAGCACTCAATCCACTGAGTCACAGCAGCCAGGGCTATGAGGGTCTTGTATGTTCCAGATGACATATTTCTGTAGTATTTAAATTTTAAATAATTTTCCTTTACCTAACAAAAGTTAACAATAAATAATTCCATGTTAAGAGCCTGGGGAAACAGTTCAAATGTCTAGCTACTGCTGACAAATTTCTCTGTGTAGGTTAACAGTAATCCCAAATGGCAGCACACAGTCAATGCAAGTCACTTACTTTTCCACCAATGTCTGTACACATCCCTTCCAGGAAGGCATCTGTAGGGCAAGGTCTGCTATTGCTAAAGCCAGCTGAATAAGGAGAGAAATTAAATAAATAGAACAGGGGAACAGAAACAGGGTTACCATCAATATTAATTGAAAAGCAAAGAAACTAAATTCTTCCACACAGTATGACAAGACTGGCACACCCCTACCTCCTGTGACCCCCACAACTATCTGTATCATATAAACTCTTCCAGGCTAGCTACAAATTGCTGGGATTTAAAAGGTAACCTTTGAAAATGAAAAATAAAAAACAACAAAAAGAAGAAAAAACAGGCTATAGATTTTCCTCAGAATATATCAATACTTACTTTCATTTGGCAATACTGTAAAACTTCATGGACAGATAAATCACGCTTTGCCAAAAGGCCAAAGCTACTGACCAAGTCAGCCCACTGACTCACTCAAGCAATGGACTGCCATTTCCGTTCTCTTTCCATTTCTCATCTTGAAGCCTAATGCAAAAGCCTCCTTCCTCTTCAAGGGCACTTCCGTGCCAGGCAGAGAGAACACATGTGGGTGTGTATTCACTGAAGCTTCCAGTTTCCCTTCCTAACATTATTTCCTTGTCTAGGGGAGAAAGGTCAAATGCTCTAGTTCACTGTTTCATTCATGACACTTTTATTAGCCAATCAGTCCAGAAAAGATGTCTTTTAAAGGTAACTAGGTAGACCTCTGGCCCAGAAGAGTGCAGTGTTTTTATCATCTGCAATTTTAACAGAGGGGGTGTTTGTGTGTGTCGTGCACTGGCTGCCCATGGAAACCTATACTCACCTCCTCCACTTCCAGTATTTAAGTTAGTTTGAAATCAAATGAGCTCTAAGATTAATACAAAAGATTTAAATTTGCACTTTCTATCCACTTACATGAATACGTAATAAAGTCGTTAACATTACTTCACAAGGCCCAGCAATGTCAATCAAAATTAACTTGATATCCAAATGGTCTTAACAAATTTCCCTAATGAGAAGCATAGGACTTACCTGTGTTACAATGACAGGTGACAAGTCTTTCAAGTTCTGGATATGGGTTAGTAATGAGTCCCGTAAAGAGGCATGAGAGTCTGTGGGGAGCTCATAAAATGAGGTCTGGATCTTCATTTTCATGGTCTGTGCGGCAAAATAGCATGATTCTACATCCTGTCGGATCTGTAACAATTGGTCTGAAATTTCCCATGCATGAACCTGAAATCAGATCAAACAAAATGGCTTAAAAACTACTTTTCTAAATTTTAGTATCATACAACCTCAATACATATAAACATATGCAGATGAAAGCATAATGAAAGAAAAATCTGAGAAGCTAAATTACCCAATAAGTCAGTCAATACTTCAAATTCTACATTTATAGGCCTTGTTCAACAAAAATATTACCTAAATTCTTCTGACTTATTCTAGGAAGCTATGAAAGTTATCAATTGAATCAATAAATCTAAACCTACTGATTAGAATCATTCATTGTGTAGGGGGAAGAGTATAAAGAAAAATGTCACAAAAGTTTCTACTAAAACTAAAATGTCACTGTATAATTTTCCAACCGTAATCTATAGGTTGGATGTTTCTTCTCTTTTTCACTTAAAAATAAATAAGCTTTGTTCACTTTGAGAATTGAGTCTGGAAACTATTTTAATATATCAATAAACAGGAAACTATATTTTATACTAGTCTCAGTAGGCTTATATTTCAATCTTTAGTTCCTGAATAAAACCTCAGAAAAACTATCTCAACCCGAGTGAATATCTCACATAATTGAATTATTTTTTTATGTATTTCTATTTGGCAAAGTACCATATGCTACTAAAATCATTTTCACAAGAGAAAATAAATTTATCTACAGAAATAATAAATAGAACAAAAGCATACAATTTGGTCTCTAACAGCTAATCATAGTTAGAAAAGGGAGTCAGTCCTATACTGAAAGATAATTTTGAGAATAAATCAAGCAGTATACAACAGGCAACTAAGTAACAACTGATAAATTCTAAAGCATCTACACCAATTCTACACCAATTCTACACCAAACTGCCTCTGCATGGGAGAAGGCTAAAACAGACTAGCAACGATGGACTGAAAAAAAATTTCAATCTCAATTCAGGAATAGAGCCAACTGCAAAGAGAAATCACACAGATTTACCTAGTCCATTTTTTATGAAGATAGAGCACTTCACGAGTAATGCATTAGTGAATCTTCAAGACCTTTCCAAAGATAAACAGGAAGTCAAGGAAGAGAAAAAGGTAAAATAAATGGCCTGTACAAGTTCCTAAAGTAAATCAAAAATAGAGACCTTAAAATTCACCACAGATTTCTTAAAATAAAACTTAGCTTTAAATCAATAAGCTGGTGGAATATACTGTAATCATGAAACATTAACTTTTTTCTAAATAAAATGTTTTATTACCTTTTTTGGAATTTGTACACCAGTATATCAAAAAATCTTCTAGCCACATAGTTTTTTATTTTTCCCCCAAGACTTTATTTATTTTTAGAGAGAAGAGACCAGAGGGAGAAAAGGAGGGAAAGAAACATCAATGTGAGAGAGAAACATCAATGAGTAACCTCTCTATGCACCCAGGCCAAGGACCAAACCCGCAAGCTAGGCATGTGCCCAGACCCAGAATGGATCTGGAGACTTTCCAATTCGTGCCACGATGCCCCCCAGCTGAGCCGCACCACGTATGTTAGAGCCCGGCCACATAGTTTTTAATTATTCATTGTCCAACCAGTAACCCCATCACATCTGCTACTTACCTGTCCATCAAAATATATTTTGCTCGCCCTGGCTGGTGTAGCTCAGTGGATTGAGCGCGGGCTGTGAACCAAAGTGTCGTACGTTCGATTTCCAGCCAGGGTACATGCTTGGGTTGCAGGCCATAACCCCCAGCAACCACACATTGATGTTTCTCTGTTTCTGTCTCTCTCTCTCTCTAAGTGAATAAATAAATTCTTTTAAAAAATCTAAAATATTTATATATATATACTTATATATATATATATAGCTCAAACTGATACATTTTTAAAAGATTCTATTTATTTATATTTAGGGAGAGAGGAAGTGAGGGAGAAAGAGAGGGAGAGAAACACAGATAAGTTGCCTCTCCCATGCCCCCAACTGGGATGGCCTGCAAACCAGGCTTATGCTCTGAAGGGGTTTGAACCAGCAACCTTTTACTTTGCAGGACAATGCCCAACAACTGAGCCCCACAGGTCAGGGCTCAAAGTAATATTTTTTAAAATAATACCAAAAAGATTCTATGAAGCCTTGGAATCTCCATAAATTCCCTCATAAAAACAGAGCCAACTTCTGCTCGAGATGGAGGTACTGGCAGACATGGCTCACCTCTTTGCAAAACCACATCAAAATTACAACTAAAATATAAAACAACCGTTGCTTGGAACCATCTGAAATCAAGCTGAATGGAAGTCTGATAACTACAGAATTAAAGAAACCACATTCATCCAGACTGAGCAACCGGCCCGGCAAGCTGGTGCCATATCTGTGACTCCATCAATCTGGCTAACACTGTTTAACCTGTGTGGGAGATCCCCAGAGACACTGCCCCACCCAGCTTAGGCCCACCCAAGCTTCTTTTCCACATGAATGGCTGGTCTTGGCTCATGCTTCACAATTTCCTAAATCCTCTCAGACAAGTAATAGCTGGCATCTGTGAGCCCCAGGCCACCCCCTCCCCCACACTAACAGCACCCAGCCTACATTCACAGCTTGGCTTTGCTGGGAATCTCCAAACAAGTAGCACACGTAGCAGCCCTCTGACTGCTTTATAGCTCAGGCAAGATGGCCCTGGGCAAAACACAGGTGGGGAGCTGAACTTGGCCTGCACCACCTGGGAAACCCCAGGGCCAGCACACCCACTAGACAGCTACAGATCATGCTGGAGTGCCATCACCCTGCCCCTGCAGAGCTGATCCTTTATGGATGGTGGAGGTCGGCCATCAGTAGTCACAGTCAGTCTGTGCAGGTGACTGGACTGGGTAAATCCTTTCCACTGATCTGCCAACAGCAACCAAGGCTCAACTACAAGAGGAGGGTATACTCAGCCCACATGAAGGGCACACCTCACACACCTTGCTTGGGTGATAGGGGAGGCTGTACCACTGGACCCTACAGGACACCTACTACATTAGGCCATGCAACCAAGACACAAAGTCAAAGCAGGTCTACCTAATACATAGAAATAAACACAGAGAGGCTTCCAAAATGAGGAGACAAAGAAACATGGTCCAAATGAAAGAACAGATCCAAACTCCAGAAAAAGAGCTAAACAAAATGCAGCTAAGCAATCTATCAGACGCAGAGTTGAAAACACTGGTTTTAAGGATGCTCAAGGAACTTAGCAAGGACCTCAGGAGCATAAAAAAGATCTAATCAGAAACACTAATTGAAATAAGAACAATTAACAGGGAAACAACAGTAGAGTGGATGAAGCCAAGAATCAAATCAATGATTTGGAACATAAGGAAGAAAAAAAGCAATCAGAACAACAAGAAGGAAAAAGAACCCCAAATATGAGGATAGTATAAGCAGCCCTGGGACAATTTTGAGAGGTCAACATTCATCTCATAGGGGTACCAGAAGGAGAAGAGAAAGAGTAAGAAATTGAAAATCCTCTCGAAAAAATAATGAAAGAAAACTTCCCTAATTTGATGAAGTAGACACGCAAGTCCAGGAAGCACAGAGTCCCATACAAGATGGATGTAAAGAGGCCCAATCAAAGAGACATCAAAATTAAAATGCCAAAGGTTAAAGATAAAGTGAGAATCTTAAAAAGCAGCAAGAGAAAAGCATATAATTACCTACAAAGGAGTGCCCTTAAGACTATTAGCTGATTTTTCAAAAGAAACTTTGCAGGCTAGAAGGGATTGGCAAGACATACACAGTCATGAAAAGCAGAGACCCAGAGCCAAGACTGCCCCACCCAGCAAAGCTATCATTTAGAATTGAAGGGCAGATAAAGAGCTTCCCAGACAAGAAAAAACTAAAGAATTCATCACCAAACAGTTATTATATGAAATGTTAACAGGAATTATTTAAGAAAAAGATAAAAAAAATCAAAACTATGAACAATAAAATGGCAAAAATACGTATCTATCAACAATTGAATCTAAAAAGCAAACTACACAGGTAAGAAAAACAGAGACAGAATGGAGACAGAATGGAGACCGAGAGCATTTTGATGGTTGCCACATGAGAGGCAGGTGTGGGGGAATGGGTGAAGAGGAGAGGGAATTAAGAAGTACAAACAGGTGGTTACAGAACAGCCATGGGCATGTAAAGTACAGTGTAGGAAATGGAGTAGCCAACGAACTTATACACATGACCCATGGTGTGGGACTGCCTAAGGAAGTGGGGAGTGCTGAGTGGAGAGGGTGCATGAGGGAAAAATCAGGACAACAGTAATAGCATAATCAATAAAATATAACTTTTTTTATCTTTTAAGATATTTATTTATTTATTTATTTATTTATTTTTAGAGACAGGAAGAAAGGGAGAAAAAGAGAGAAACATCAATGTGTGGTTGCCTCCCATGTGACCCCCACTGGGGACCTGGCCCACAACTCAGGCATGTGCCCCTGACTGGGAATCAAACCTGCTACCCTTTGGTTCACAGCCTTCACTCAATCTACTGAGCCACATCAGCCAGGGCAAAATATAACTTTTTTTTAAAAAGAGCAATCAAACAGGAAAACCAAAGTACTATGGACATCTATAACAAAACTAGGTGTTATCCAGTTATCTCCAAGAACTCCAAATTATAAGTGGTTGGGGACAAACCAGTAACACCTATAAGACTTGTATAATTTCAGCTTCAGTAAAAGTAGTAGAAGGAACAGGCTAACTAACGGATCGTAGAGCAGATGGACAACGAAACAGCCAACAGGTATTCACTAGAAAGCACAGGGAACCCATGTGAGGACTATATTTGAAAATGGAAGAGGTTTTCGTGAGTAGAAGAGGCCTACATAAGGCCCCAGGAGAAGAAGTTCGAGCCTCTATAGACTCTTGAAACTGAAGAGCTACAACAGAGCTCCAAAGTGAGGAGAAAGTGGTATGAACAGAATCAAAAGTATACAGGACAAGTACAACAGAGACAAAGAGAAAAAGGAGAAGGTAACAAAGCTAGGAAATCTTAGCAATGAACCACCATATTTGTAAATACTACCTTAA